AACATACATGCGCGAGTACAAGCAGATGCCAAATTGGGAATCATAAGAGTCAAGGGTCCATGCGTAATGAGATAGAATGCAAGAGATGAGGGAAATGGAGAAGAAGAAAAAAACACAACATTGCTGGCTTGATGGATAAAGAAAATAGGAAACATAAGTCACAAAGTAGGAGAGCTTGCTAGACAGGTGCACGTTCACCTGCCACGGGGGATGATACCGCTCATGCGGCTTCCAGCACCGGCCATCAGGCTCTGTTTCACGATAGCATCGGCAGCAGCAGCGGCAGCAAGTCTTTCCTTCTGACGGCTACGGTCCCGGAGATAGCCGGCAGCTTCGGGGCGCATGCGAAGAATGCGCAGGATCATATCGTCGTTAGGATCAGCCTGCGCCTCCCGTCGCTTCTCTTCCTTGGCCTTCTTCATGGTGCCTAGGTTGCGGGAAAGCATGATGCTCTTGGCACGACGGGCAGCGGGAAGACCCAAGCCGCCATAGCCAGCACCTGTGGCACCGAGGTGGGCAGGCGCGGAAGTGCGGTTGCGGGCCGCTTGTTGGCGGTTGACAGTCGCTGAGGCCATGCGCTCGGAGGTGCGGATGAGGTGCTCCGTTGGTTCGAAGTAGAAGAAATTCAGAGACTGAATTTCGTGATATTTGGGTGATTTCAGGATATCGATTGGGACGCCGTTTGCTTCGCCGGTTTCGTCGTCAATCGCATGGAAGAAGTTCAATAGTAGCACGAGCCAGCGTGATACGATGTCGACTTCTTGGATGGTTAATGGCTTTTGATGGGATGGCTTATCCGACAGAGGGGGCACGAGTAGACTCTCGATGGTGGCAAGCACTTCCTTCCATAGGCGAGCCATCACCATCTTCATGGCTTCAGGTGTAAGGGTTTTGTTCATGATGGCGAAGTTGTCATTGAAGTAATTGAACAGAGGAGTCAGTGCATTTTCGACGTCTGCCGGGGTGGGTCCGGCAGGAGCTGGCTGCGTTCGGTTGCGATTCAAGAAGCTCGAGACACTAGATATACTGAGTCCACGAGAGAGCAGAGATTTCAGCGTTCGTCGGGAAAGACAGTGACTGATGTATGCCGAAAGCTTCTCTGTGATCTTCCGAGTCATATCCCTTTCAGTTCGTTTGAGTGTACGGAAGGCCTTGCCGAAGTAGAACTGGATGTCGTCTCGCTCGCCTTCCATACTAACTCGGAGCAGAAGCCGACCCTGAGTATCCAGGTCGAGCCAATACTCTCTTGGCAAGAAGTCACTGAAATGCACAGGATCCAGCTTGATCGACGTGCGACCAACGTAGTCATGATCGCCCACTGCATCCCAGTCCCAGATGGTAGCGATGATATTCAGAGGGCCTTGTGTAGTGAGATCCACTGCATCCTCCCATCGGGGATTAAGATTATTGTAGATGATGCGGGTTTTGGCAATTCGTTTTTGATATTCGTCCGTCAAGACGACATATGGATCGCTGCCACCACCAATGTCGCATGCTTTCAAGTCCTCTGCCTCCACTACCTTGATTGTAAATACGTAGGTGGTAGACTTGCGGACCTTCTTGAGCTGCGGTGGAGTATTTCTTGCGATGACTTCGGCGCACCCGTCGACGTTGATGTCACTTTCGAGTTTGTCGAGCTGAGCAAGTGCATACTCAATATTGTTCAGTTTCACCAGGGACTATGAAAAATGTTAGCCCGCAATATATACTTAGCTGAAATGGATAAGAACATACCTCTGACGAGAATTGGAAGGGCTCGATTTTATCCTTATTCGTCCAGGTGTCTTTGGCGAACTGCATCAGTTTTTCTTGGGTGGTTTGATTTAATGCTGCCTCCTGCTCGGGTGTGAGACGATCCATCTCCCGCGTGAACATCTTCTCTAAGGAGTCACAGTAGGTTGCCACACCTTTCCCAATTGAATTAGAGAGGTGCGTCATGAACTTTGCATATTGAAGATCATCGTCCCACTCCAGTTGCACCATATTTTCAACAACTTGATTGAAAGATCGGAAAATGTCAATAACTGACACACTGTGACGATCATCTTCAGGCGCAAGATCTGTCGTTCCATCTGCACGAACGGCGAATGCATCTTGTCTTGTAGCTTGGCTGACCCAATCCATGATTTTTTGATCAGTCAGACGAAGCCATCTCCAGACAAAGTCTTGAAGGAGACCCTCCACATGGAATGGGAATGGAGCACTAAGCTACGTTAGTAACCTCACAGCAACAGCATGGAAGTCCAGGGCTTACTCCTCATGGGTGTTATGGAATAACCGTCTGATCGTAGCAAGCTGCTTGTATAGGTCGAAGCCGTCGTCAATAGCGATCTCCTCACCCCTCGCTTTTGCCTGCTCGATAATCCTAATGATCATTTCATGTACATCCTCGGCGAACATAGGGAGTACGTTGTGACACAAGGTGGTATAGGGGTTCACACTGTTTGCAAATTAGAGACTGATCAACAGGACAGACAAGAAAGAAAGAACCTACCCCATGATCTCCGGGTTATTGCGGTAGCGTTTCTGGATCTTTAGAGCAAGCTTTGAGATTGCATCTCCAAGCTGGATGACATGGTCGGGATCCCAAGCCTCTTGTTCCACGGGGATTAGTTGGCTAAGAAGGCTTTGATATTTTGTTGTTGCTTTTTGGGCAAGTCCTTCTTGCACATATGTGCTGAATCGATTGATGTCTTCAGGGTCCTCAATGTAGTTGGGATCCATCTGGATGTGGGTGTCAAGAATGTACATAACTGGACCGAGTGGGCGTGGCTTTGCCTCAAAGCAGTCCATCATAGCCTCATATAGCTCTCGGAGCAAGGCCTCATGAAGTTTGGACAGCAGCAATTGCATCGTTTGAACATCATGTACGGTCCATCGTCGCCGATCAAAGACCATGGAAGGCGCAAAGCTACTGCGTTTGCGGTTCTCGCCCGAAGGCATTTCTTTCATATAAGTAAATGCCGAGTCAAGGGTAGTGAGGTCAATCTCATTGTCAACAAATTTAGCCTGAACCACCTCGAGGAACATCACGACCCGGGAGAAGGCTGGAATCCGCCAGCGGAGACATATTTCATTAAGCATTTCAGTAGACTGCTTCGACAGCAGTCTCATTGAAGGCACGTCAGATGTGGCCTGCGTAGCTTCAAGCTCCCGGTCCCGCAGATCATGGGTCAAGGTCTGGGACAAGATGTATTTGTACAAAGACCTAGGGTCAGACGGTATGAATGTGTATGTATCGGATTCATCTGACTCTTCTAGAGAAAGCCCGCTCAGATCGACAGGCTGATCAATGACGGAAGATGTTCTGTCAGTCCGACCAGAGGATGTCCTTGACAAGTCGGGGTTCTCCGAAGTGAACTGAGGAAGAGACCCGGGAGTGCTTTTGGCCAGGTCGGGGTTGGATTGCATAATTGCGAGCATCATCTGTGAGAGATCAGGACCTTCGCTCTTTTTCCAGCCCTCATAACCCTCGTCCGACTCAAAATCATCTCTTGACAAGGTTTTGTGTGTCTGGAGGTTTAAGTGGGTTTGATAGGTCTTGAGGTCCTGCAGAGCGGCCTTTTCGGTCCAGGTGGACTTGTGTTTATCGATTTCGGATTGTGCTTGGGATGTGGTCATCCCAAAGATCTTGGCCACATGTTGCACCAGGGGCATATCCTTCACACTATAACTTAATACGCCAACACTATCAGTCGCAGACGTAGGTCCGTTCGTTTGCATGAGGTCCTGATCTTGCAGAAGAAGCTTGTTTTCCAGTACCGTCAACCGATTGGCCAACTCTGGGCGGTCCTTGGACCACTCGTGATCTTTCAAAGTGAGCGCAAGGAGTCGGACAAAAAGTGCAACGTGCCGATCCACCATGAGCTTCCAGCTATCATCATCATGCTCTTTGCCCTTGCCCAGCTCTTTGACTGCATTTGAGTAGAAAATCAGGAGCAGATCTTCAGCTCGTCGGTCCTTCTCCATGCGCTTTCGGAAGGAGTCCTCCTTCAGAACGTTGAGGAATACAGCGAATGTCCGCACCACCAGGTGATCTTGATATTCCTTCCTTTTCTCCTTTCCCATCAACACAGCCGTTAACCGCTTCTCTAGCTCGGACACGAAGCCATGGGGAACCCTGGTGCTTTTGGAGTCTCTGACCAAGGAGAAATCGCTCATTAAATCATGCATGGTGGCTGATCGTTTTGGCCGCGCCGGCGCGACGGGGGCATTTTGGATGCGACGAGAGCGAGGGTTGAGGAGATAGGCAAGGTAGGCGACCCGAATGGCATGGCTGTATGCCACGTTGGCGTTTAGGGGGCGGCGCCGCGATAGGGAGGAGTTGCGCGAATGGCGACCCTCATTCTGGAGGCTGTTAATCCGTCGGTTGACTCCTCGGGACTGGGTAGATGCTGTCGACATGGAGTTGTCAATTAAATTCGTGCAATGTTAGGTGACAGATAGCGCGGGACCATGGAGAAAGTTGGGAAGCATCCAGCACCCAGAAGAAGCTTTTCGGAAGATTTTTTTCTTTCAGTCCGAATTGAAAAGCCGTCACAAAGCTGGAGGGGCGAATTTGTTTATTGAAGGGGGAGAGGGAGGGGGGGGGGGGAGAAGTGAAACAAAAAGCTGCCGAACCAACTGACGTAGAGGCGTCCCGTCCAAAACAATGCTATTTACCGGTTTGACTATGCTACGGGGTTACTAGTTACTACCTAAGTATATATATTTTCTTCTTTTTTTTTCTATATACAAGTGCTTATTGCATATTGTTCGTTCAAGGAGTCCTGATCCTTGTTCTCCCTGGATGGGGCCATACTTATAAAGCTGCAAGGGTTTCCTACATATGTAGCTATTTGGGAAGATCAATATTGACATCAAGTCAAAAGCTCCATCCAAAAAGAGATCTAAAAGGATATTCAAAAGCCATATCAAAGACACCTGAAGGATACCCAAAAGACATCTAGAAACACAACCCCAAAGGGTATTGTAGTGTTATCACGTCCATAATATCAAATGAATCAATGCCATATATCGGCACATACGACAAACAGAAAAGTAGTTTTTAATCCAAATTCATTCCGAGCATGCGATCGGGCTTTTTCGGGTTTTGATGAAACATAGGACTGGTGAATCGACCACCAGTCCCCAAAGACGCCGAAGATAGAAAATCGTACTGGTATTTACACAAACAAAAAGAGAAACCAGATGTCAATCACCATGTGTCGCCGGACTTGCGAGCCTAAAGCAAATAGTTAGCTCTTTGCCCCTTTGTCAGAGGTTCTTGTGAATATCATTTCCAATACATACCGGCAAAGCACTGGGACCTCCCAACTCCTTCTCTAGACCATCGACATAGGTCTTAGGAGCACTCGGCTTGTCAGGGTAGTTGAGGCTGACAACGCCAACCAGGCCAAGGAAAGCAACGACGAAGCATCCGAGGTGGAAGAAACCCTTGCCGGCCGAGACGTGGGTATATTGCTCGGGACTGAAGACACCGAGAATTTCGTTATCCTCGTGCACAGGCTCGCCAAAGTTGCGCTTCTCTTGCGCATCCCACCAGCCACCGTAAGGGTCTCTGTGTGCCCGCTTCAAAGCGGGAGGGTTGGGGTAGTTGTTGTTCTGTCTCGGGGGTTAGGATCCTGGATGCCAAGTAGGGAGAAGGCATCTATGCCATATGGATGCTATACCTGTAGAGGATCATTAATCTCAGCAGCACGAAGAGCTGGGATCTGGGAGAAGGATGCGCGGGGAGCAATGGCTCGGGCGGCAACCTGGGGCAGGCGCCGGGCCAAGATTCGTTGAGACAGCATCTGGGAGAGGAATTGAAGGTCAGAAAGGCTGTGAGAGTATTTGAAGATAATATGGAGATAAAGAAAGACACTCACAGTTATGCTGAAAGACAAGCAGCAAATGAGTTGTCAGAGGCAAGAGAGCCAATTGGGTAGAGGGGGTTGAATATCGATGATGAACGGATGGAGGTTTGCGGAATGTGTGGCCTGAGGCAGAGAGTCACAAGACTTCAGGCATCCACGCGCCGGCGCGACCATGTAATTGCTCGCCCGAAGGAAAAAAACCACTCTCCACGTATTCTCATCATCTCCGTTGTTTTTCCGTCCCCATCCACGCTACAGCGCCGATAAGCATGTTAAACTTCTTGTAGTATCTCTACTCGATAGTACCTATTTGTTAATGCCAAAATCTTTTACTTCGACTGCGTCATTGTTGGGATAACTGGGGTCACCTGCTGCCAACGGCCCCTGTCGTCTGCGGCTACAAGTCATGCAAAACGGCACCCCCAACGGCCCATCACCCCAAGATGAACGCGTAACGCCTGTGTCCGATTCTACACCCCTCAACGGGTCTGTAATCGAAAACCCATCAGATTCCGCCCCCCGCGAATCGATTCCTCCCGAGCCGAAAGACATCGAAGCTGTTCATCAACCCGAAGAACCCCCATCAAAGAAACGAAGACTCACAGATTCCTCCTCGTCGCAACGTTCCACTCCCAAACCACCATCGCCGCCTTGGAAAAAGGCTGGCTTTGAGGGACCCACATCGTTCCTCTCTGAAGGCAAGCGCAGGTCTTCGCGAACAAACGCCGTCCCGATCGAATTTCAACCTGGGTCAGACAAGAGACACACGCGGGGGGCTCAGAACAAGAATGTTGGCAAGTCTGCTCGTGATGGAAGCAAGCCGGCTACATCCTCGCCGCTATCGGTAACGCAGTCACGCGCCGACGCCAATGGGAAACTGGGTGGAAAGGCCACTGCCAATGGATCGCCCAGAGCGCCGTCGCGCACGGCGGCGAACAAGCCGCCGCGTATCTCACAGACTCCAGCACTAAAACCAAGTCATCCGCGCACTAAATCTCGCCCCTCCGCTTCCCTTGCTCGCCCGTCTGGTGCCAACGCGAACGGCACCAGTTCTCGCTCGCTTCGCGATCGCCCATCCCTTTCGAATCTATCACAGGAGGTCAATGGAGCTTCAGATAATGTCGACATGGATGACAAGGAACTCGAACAAGGATCATTGAAAATTCCAAAATTGCGCATTAAATTGAACAAGCCTGTCCTTCCGATTCGACACCCCGGCCACATACCGCAGAAGAAACACACGTCTTTCAGAGAATGGGTATACCAAAATGATAGCTCAAATGTATTGTCAGAGGATGAGGCTGCGATAGAGGCACGCAAACGGCTTGAAGTCATGTCTGCCGCTGAGCCCGGTGGGCCGTTGAGTTCGCAAGTCTGCTCGGCATATATCACAGAACAGCAAGAGGAACCTCCCCCACAGTACTCGCACCAGGATCACTTGGTTTCCCACGCGCTCTACTTCCAGAAGCTCCTCGACAAAGAACACAAACGCCACCGGCAAACAGCCAAACTGTTTGCGCAATGGTGTGCTGACGCTTATCGGAAACGCCACAAAAACCCCGAAGATATTCTACGTGAGCAGCAGGAGGAGATGCGTGGAAAGCGCAAGCAGTTATCAAAGGATCTTCAGAAGATGTTCGATCTGACCCGTGCCGATATTGATCGGGTCCGCCTAGCACGTTGGGAGGAAGAGCGGAAAATGGAAGACCAGCAGGCTCTTGATCGCGCTATCAAAAAGTCTACTATGCTCTTCGAGAAGCGTCGATCGGAGATTTTGGGCGAATTGCCTAGCGATGCTCCGGTGACGAGTGACGACGAGGATGGCGTGTCAGGCTTCTCGTCTGGCCCAGGCGAAGAAGACGAGAGTAACATGTCAGATTCTGAATCCGGAACCGACGACGAGGCCAATGTGGACGATGATGCCACATTGACCGCAGAAGAGCTCCGGCTGAAGTACGCCAACTTACCGGCCGAAGACTATACCGACCGGATGTCTATAGCCTCAGGCAGCACGGCAATGACCAACCCCAACGAATCCTTGGATCCCGAAGCGGTTTTAGATGACCTCGATTCACACGCCACGCCCGAAGATAATCAGTTAGACGACGTTGATTCAGTGTTGATGGACGATAGTGATGCCTCCACAGACATGGATGATGATATGGGTGATAGTGACGAAGAGGAAGAAGACTTAAGCGAGGAGGAGTCGGATGAGGATGATGAGACCGGATCCGGCTTGCTGGGTTTCTTCTCGAAGCATGAAACCCCTGTACCAAAAGAGGGCGAAGAGGGCGATGAAGCTTCAGCTGTGGGCCACGAACAAGAAATCGATATTAAATCGGCCTCGGAGGGTGAAGATGACATTGACTTCGAAGATCAAGATGAAGTCTCCCTGGTTCCAATTGGACCAACGACCAGCGAGGGCACTTCAACAGAAGGCACGCCCTTGCATATCGCCAATGCTTCTGAATACTCTCCTGCCACTGGAGGAGAAACACCTGCCGTTGACACCCCGATGGAAGAGGAGCTCGCCGAAGCCGAAGCCGAAGCCGACGATGCAGCCACTGCTGGTGTCGTGCATGATCTTGGCCAACTCCATGAGTTGGAGTCCACCAAACCAGAGACCGAGGAGGCAACTCCTGCTGACATCGCAGATGACATTGATCACCCCCAATCTATGGAAGTAGATCATGTCCATGACAGCCGACCAAGCGGGGATATGTCCAGTGAGCCATCGCCGGGAACCTTCGCAACCAAGCCATCCGAGCCTGAATCGGTCTCATCGCTCGAGCCTGCAATTGAAAAGGCATTGCAAATAAGTCACTCACCTGCCCCAGGCCTGCAGACACCCATTCCACAGATCCTGCGTGGTACACTACGTGAATATCAGCACTATGGATTGGATTGGCTTGCGGGTCTCTACAACAACCGCATCAATGGTATCCTAGCAGACGAGATGGGCCTGGGCAAAACGATTCAAACCATTGCCCTTCTTGCCCACCTTGCCGTTGACCATGGTATCTGGGGGCCACATTTGGTGGTCGTTCCGACCAGTGTCATGCTCAACTGGGAAATGGAGTTCAAGAAATGGTGCCCGGGGTTTAAGATCATGACTTACTACGGCAACCAAGAAGAACGCAAACAGAAACGCCGAGGCTGGACAGATGACAACGCCTGGAACGTGTTGATTACATCGTACCAACTCGTTCTGCAGGACCAAATGTCTCTCAAGCGAAAGGACTGGCACTACATGATTCTTGACGAAGCACACAACATCAAGAACTTCCGCTCACAGAGGTGGCAAGCCCTTCTTACGTTCAAGTCCCGTGCTAGGCTCCTTCTAACGGGTACACCACTCCAGAACAACCTCACGGAACTGTGGTCTCTTCTGTTTTTCTTGATGCCTTCAGATGGTACCAACGGTGGCGTCGACGGGTTTGCCGATCTAAAGGATTTCTCTGAATGGTTCCGTCGCCCCGTTGAACAAATTCTGGAGCACGGCAGGGAGACTATGGACGACGAGGCTAAGGGTGTGATCACCAAACTTCACACCGTTCTCCGCCCGTACCTTCTTCGTCGACTGAAGGCCGATGTCGAGAAGCAAATGCCTGGCAAGTACGAACATGTGGTCTACTGTAGGCTATCAAAGCGTCAGCGATACCTTTACGACGGCTTCATGTCGATGGCCCAGACCAAGGAGACGCTTGCGTCCGGAAACTTCCTCTCCATCATCCACTGTCTGATGCAACTCCGTAAAGTGTGCAACCATCCTGATCTCTTTGAAACCCGACCCATCTCCACCTCCTTTGCGATGCCGCGGTCTGTGGCTATGGACTTCAATATCAAGGAATCCCTCGTTCGACGACGACTCCTCTTTGAACACCCGCTCACCAAGATCGACTTGGACTTCCTCAACCTCGCACCCGTATCACGGGAAGATATCTCACGACGGCTGGCCGACGATAGTATCAGGCTGATGGCTATTGGCCCGTTCAAGACTCTCCGAGAACGCCAGTACAACCGAACCAACTGGGAGATGGGCTTTGACGGGTCCAACATGCAGACCATCTTAGAGTCATTGGAGAACGCCTGTCGGAAGAGACGAATGGCGGAATTAGAGCGGTGTCTCTACTTCGAATCCAAGCGGCATGGCCGTCGGCCCGTATACGGTAGCAGCCTTATCGAATTCCTCCGGGCTGGGACCAAGGAACACGCGTTATCCAATGCACCGCTGCGGAAGCGCTCAATGGCCGACTGGTTGTCAAGCCGGTCCTCTGTCCTCGCGTCGATGATTCTGACCGTTGAGGAGCGGGCTCTTGAGATGCATGGCTATGTACAGAGATTCGCCTGCGTCACCCCCGCTGCCGTGGCCGCGGGCATGAGCGAAGCCGCCTTGACTCCCGTCGAGACCCGGCTTTTGACGAATAATCGCCCAAACCCGCCATACGATCCTTTCCACGAAGCACGGATGCGCCTCTCTATTGCGTTCCCGGATAAGAGATTACTTCAATACGACTGCGGCAAACTGCAGCGCCTTGACAAACTCCTGCGTGATCTCAAAGCCGGCGGCCATCGAGCCTTGATCTTCACCCAGATGACCAAGATGCTCGATATCCTCGAACAGTTCCTCAATATCCATGGCCATCGCTATCTCCGACTCGACGGAACTACGAAAGTCGAGTCCCGACAGATGCTTACGGAACGATTCAATAGTGATCCCCGCATCCTCGCTTTCATCCTATCGAGTCGATCCGGTGGTCTCGGTATCAATCTCACGGGCGCCGACACGGTTATCTTCTACGATCTAGACTGGAACCCCGCCATGGACAAGCAATGCCAGGATCGCTGCCACCGCATCGGTCAAACACGCGATGTCCACATCTACCGCTTCGTATCTGAGTATACCATTGAATCCAACATCCTCCGGAAAGCCAACCAGAAGCGCATGCTCGACGATGTCATCATCCAAGAAGGCGAGTTCACCACCGACTACTTCACCAAACTGAGCGCGCAAGCGATAGCCGAACCCGACGAGCGCGACGGGCAAGACGAAGCAAGTGCCGCCATGGACCGAGTTCTCGGCAATCGCGTCGGAGGTGGAACCCGCGTCTTCGAAGCAGCCGAGGATAAGGAGGATCTGGATGCAGCGAAGAACGCCCAGAAAGAACAGGAGCACGCCGATGATGGCGACTTCGAGGAGAACAGTGCTTCGCTCGGAACACCGGCTCAGGCTGGAACGCCCTTGACCGTGGAAGACGGGGCTGGCATGCCGGTTCCACTGCATGTGTCTGGTGACCAGCCCGATATCGAATTGCAACCAGGTCACATCGATGACTATCTCTTGCGCTTCATGGAGTGGAACATGAGGGATGAACCCCTGGTTCTGCCGGTAGATAAGAGCAAGAAGAAGTCCAAGAAGGGCAAGGAGCACCATCTCAAGAGGCGTCGTTAGAGCCATGAGATCAATGCTCATAGGCCTCCTTTTTGTCTCCACTCCAACCGTTTCACGTTTCAATAATCTCCTCACTTTAACCTGTTTTGTCTCGTCAAGCTTGTAATAGTATCTTGTGTATAATCCAGTTGGAGATGTTATAATGTTTTATTGTCTTTTTTTTCTCTCTTCTGATTAGCTGTCTTGATTCATTACTTTTTCCTTTTTTTTTGCTCTACTCTTTTCTTATTCTGTGTTAATCCTACTACTATATTAACAAAAGACACCAATAGAATCCATTAGCAGAAATAAATCTTAAATTATTTTCAAATCAATAGTCTATTTCCCGGAGATTATACTTAACTAGACAAGTGGATCGGAGTCCATCCTGATAGGCAGATCATTCTGCTCCAACCGAACGTAGACCCTTGAATCTCAGAGGCTATTGGGGTTTAGTGCGGTGTTTATATTAATATCAATAGTGTGAGAATCGGGAAATTGTCTATTGTATTGTAGCTGGATTGCAGTGGAGTAGGGAAAGGGGATGCTACTGTACTCCGTACATAGTCAATAGTGACTTTGGTCTCTACGTTATACCTTGGAAATATCTGAGTGTATATCGAGAATATGTATGTAAATGTACGGAGTACTACAATGGTATATATGCATCCACGAGCTATCAAGTTGAAGAGAACAAAAGGGCGATCATCTCGGGTTTTCCCCCCTATTCTGTTGTCTGATATCTTTGAATTCTCCAATAAGGACCCATGGCTCAGTCGATCTCCACCAAAGCCAAGTCACATTTACCTCGGCAAGTCTTCTCCGAAGGATAATAGTTGAACGAGAGAGCGCGTGGTTGAAGCGGTGGGGACTGAGGCATGAGGAAGTACCCCGTAGGAAGTGGAGCCTCATTCTGTAGTCTGTCGGATACGACTCGGATACGCATAATTTTTTTGCACATGATCTCAAGGGAAAGAGTGCATGGAGATATTGAATGATGCCGAGTATTTGCCGGGTGTTGACGTGATTTGACGTTGGGTTGGACTTGTTGGAGTCAGGATCCACTGATCTTCTCTCCAAATGGCCCCCCCCGAACTCGGGTGCGAGGGAATTGGGAACGTAGGGCTCTCACGGAGACTCTCCGGACATCCATTAAGCTTTGGGAAGTGCCCTCTTTGACGGTGCAGTAGATCCATGGTGATCCGGGGGACCTCGCTACAATTTACATCATCGAGATATATCCCTGTGATATATCCCTGTCTTCCGGAATAGGTGACTGGTGTTTTTAAAAGGCTGCAGATCGAGATATATGGCATTTCGTTATTGGACCGGGGAGAAGAAAGAAGGAAAAGAAAAGAGAATATAATGAATATGCAGGGCCCAGAACACAGAAAAGTACCTCAGTTCTTTGTAACGGGCGGCTGTAGACATGTCAAAGAAGTGATCTCCCTTTTTGGAGGCGCGCGGGTGCAAATGCCGATGCGCTATTCGGATCTGGTCTCACCCCGTTTGGGAAAGCTAGTGTTGAATATATATTTTTAAACAAAGGAAATGGTTCATATCCAGATCAGACTCGGCATTTCTCCAGATATCCACTCCCGAAGGGCGGATGGGGACGGGAGATGAAATTCCCACCCATGGGTGAAGTGAACGTGAAGATATGGAAGATCCAACAGCCGAAGCCGGACATCTGCAGTTTGAGAGAGATGTGACATATGCAGGTCGAAGAACGCAAGTGATGATTGGCACTGGGCGCTTTTCATGCAGTGTCGGGGCCGTGCAGTTTTTTTGTTTCTCAAGTTAAAATGTCTCTCATATTCTCTCATGTCTCTCGATTAGAGGTAATAGGTAATAGTATTGGTATGAGAGATCCCGTCTTAAGGGGGGAGCAAGTCAGGATGTCAACGTGGAGCCCAATAAATCCACTATTGAGGACCCCCGGGCAGATCGTCGCCGATCAATTTGCCAGATCGATTGGCACTCGCACGAACTGGTACTCCACGGGCGTGATACCATTGGTGTGAGTCGAGAGGGGGCTTTACACTAGTTCTGACACCATGTGCCTTAGTTCACAGCCGTGAAAAAAAAAAGCACTGCCTTGGGATCTGGGGGAGAGGCACCGCTTTTTTCCCCTCGGTTCGAATGATGTTGGATCTGAGCACATGATGTGATGGATCCTCCGAATTGATTTTCCAGCACATGCTTGTTTCTAATTCACAGGTTCCAAGTTCTCGACGGATCTGCTTTTGGATAGACGTCCGGTGCAGAACCGTCGGAACCGTCAGTACCGTCCATTGAGGATCCCGAGGTGGCGGTGATCGGCGACCATGAGGTTCAAGACGCCATCCACGGGTGAGAGGAGGGCTTATCTGAGTTGGAGTATGTAACCATATTGGGATAAAACTGGGTCCCGGCTAGGGCCCCAATGCACAGTAAATCACTCCTGGGGAACTATGTAGGCCGTGTGTCTTCGCACCGTTTTGCTGGGATTTTCCCCCGATTTTCGTCGGAGATGATCGGGTCAAGCTCGGGTCAAGTGAATTAACATAGGACGTGGATCTGGCTATCTTCTCGATAGGTCGAATGTTGGAAGAAAGAAAAAACAACAGTCATACTCCATAGACCGTAGAGACCGAGGTGATCAATCGATTTTCTAAATTCGCTTTGTTCAAAACGCGCCAAGCACTCAACTGGGGATAGTAAGACATAGCAGATGAGCTGTTCCGCTTGGATGATGTGATCCACTTGGAGTAATGACATCGCAGCCCTGATGATCGTCGAGACCCATAACCAATGGGGTTTGCACTGCGAATCTCGTTGATGATCGCCGCGTGCTGAACGCCACGGACGCTAAGACCCAATGGCCCAAGGGAGAGATTGTGTGTTATAGGGTTCCATAATGACAGAACCAAGACAATGGGAGATGTGGAGGTGAGAGAAGTGGGTGAAGTTGGGAGATGGCCCTGGTGGCCGAGATGGCCCTAACAAACCACTCACCTATTTACCTTTCTTATATTCTTATATATTTTATTTTATTTCCCCCTAAGCTCTATTTCCCCATTTCTACATATAATAATCGTGGTCTCGCCCGTTTCCTGTCTCTTTTTTGTTGATCATCTTGATCTTCGTACTATTTCCCCCCTTTTCACTCCCCTTGGACTGTGCGTCAATAATGAAGACTTCCATCTCGTCCGATGTATGGGAGAAGAAGAAGGCGTTGATCTCCAAGTTGTATATGGAAGAGGAATGGCCCTTGAAGCAGGTCATCAAGCAGATACGTACCGATGATTTCAATCCCAGGTGAGTACATATGTACATTTATGTTCATATCCATTCCATGTCCGATACCGGACTCTATCATGGACTATCAACTAACACCTCCAGTGAAACCCAACTACGAAGCAGACTGAAGAAATGGCGAGTGACCAAGCCATCTCGCCAGACTCGAAAGAAGAGTCTGGCTTCAGCCTCTGGAGAAGACCCAGACTCAGACAAGGATGCGAAGCGCAAAGCATCCACCATTCAAACACCACTGCCATCATTGCCAACAAGAGGCACACCAACAGCCCGCCATGAATGGCCCATGACACAGCCTATCTACGGACAACCGCCTACCCTCCACCGCCCCGTCCCAGACCAGGACCGGAAATGGAGCTCTCCCATGATCCAACAACTCACCCCAAGCCCCTCCGGCGAGCACATCCTCATCCCAGACCGCACAACAGCCGTCTCTTATTCAGACCCCAGTCCAACAACAACATCCTTCGACCACGCCCACACCTCCCCAGGCGAGGGTCTCATGCTGAACACAACCTCCGCCGTGGCCCCATCCTACCCAGCCTACCCACTCTCGCCCGAATCGTGCCTCCCAAGCCCAGGCACGGCAACGACCCCCGGCGGCATTGGCTGGTCGCCCCGTGCCGTCTCAGTAGACTACGGCCTCAACCCGTCCCAGTGGTACTCGCTGCCCTTTGAAGCCATCACCCCTCCAGCCGCCGCCCCCCAGTCCACGATTGCTCCCATGGCGCCTTCAATCAACGGCTATCTTCCCCAAGCCCAGCTCTACCACCCCCAGTACCACCACTACAGCGGCGAGGCAGAGTACCACCATGACTATGATGCCAAGAACTGGAAGCGCGCTATGTCGTTGCAGTATGATATGGCCGGCCATCTGGCGGCCCGGCCTGAACACGGTGATAGGAAGCAGATGCTCCCGCATACACAGCCTCATGGCCAGCCGCATCATATGGCATCGCCGCCGCATACCCAGCCTGGTGGGCCTCATTCCGTGATGTGTGCTCCGATCATGCCTTACATGGGCCATGACCATTATGTGCAGAAGCCTCCGGGCATTGGATACTAGGTGATAACTTGCACTGGCGCTCTTCTTTCTGTTAAATACTTGTGATACCTTGATACTTGATACCTTTTTGTGTGAAATATGGGTGGATTGTCTGTTTTGTCATACCCGATATGTTTTGGTTTTGGGGAGTTTGGATGAAAAGGAAACTGTATATATTGATACCTATTGATTAACTGAGCTTGATACATCTATGCTATGTATACTACTGCATATCTATCCTATCCTATACTATATCAAATGTACAAATTGAAGTATTCTATAAATGCCAAGACCTGTGAGTTACCCGAAAAGGAACCTCGGCATCTTGCGGGGAAACCCCATCTCCCAGACCTTCCAGAGCTCTTTTTATTTGAACATCCCCTTCTATCGTTTCTATCTCTTCATCAAAAAGTTCAGAACTTATCACCTCAATCCCACTATACATCCACACTACCGCCAAAATGCGTGCCGTCCAAGTCAGCGAATACGTCAAGGTACCACAGCCCAACTCCAAACCTCATCCCCAACCCCAACCCAAACTAACCACCCACCTCTACAGGGTCCCCTAGACCTCAAAGTAACAACAGTCCCAACCCCGACCCCAAAAGCGGACAAATACCTAATCGAAATCCACTCCGCCGGCACAAACTTCTTCGACATCCTTCAAATCCAAGGCAAATACCAAAACCAACCGCCACTCCCCTGGATCGGCGGCGCCGAATTCGCAGGCACAATCACCGCCGTGCCCACCTCCGCAAACAACCGCTACAAACTCGGTGACCGCGTCTTCGGCGCCACACAAGGCGCCTACGCAACACACGTCCTAGCCGCAGAGCAAACCCTCCTCCCTGTACCGGAGGGGTGGAGCTTCGAAGATGCAGCGGGGCTGTTCGTCACGGCGCCGACCTCGTATGGCGGTCTTGTGCAGCGCGCTGGCGTGAAGGCCGGGGACTGGGTCCTTGTTCATGCGGCTGCGGGCGGTGTCGGTCTTGCTGCTGTGCAGATTGCTAAGGCTATGGGAGCGACTGTTATTGCTACTGCGGGAACCGAGAGGAAGAGGGAGATTGCTAAGGTTTTTGGGGCGGATTATGTGGTTGACTACACCAATAAGGCGTGGCCGGAGATTGTGAAGGGGATTTGCAAGGAGAAGAGGAAGGGAAATGGGGCTGCTGGGGTGGATATTGTTTATGATCCTGTTGGGATGATTGAGGCGAGTTTGAAGTGTGTGGCGTGGAATGCGCGGTTGTTGGTTATTGGGTTTGCGGCGGGGAAGATTGAGAAGGTTGCGCTTAATCGGGTGCTGTTGAAGAATGTGAGTATTGTTGGCTTGCATTGGGGGCAGTATGCCAAGTTTGAGACGGAGACTGTTGGTGAGGTTTGGCAGGGGATCTTTGACCTTGTTAAGCAAGGGAAGTTCAAGGGGACTGCGTTCAAGGATGAGAGCTTTGTTGGGTTGGAGAGTGTGCCCAGAGCTTTACAGGCGTTGGGTGGCAGGGAGACTTGGGGAAAGGTTGTTGTGAATATTGTTGGTGACTCGAAGAGCAAGCTGTAGTCTTGAGAGCCCAAGACTACTGTACATAGATACGTTGGAAATCAATAGATTCGATTCGATATAAACTGATGAATGTAGATGCGCAAGGAGTCATGCTCTCGTAGACAAAGTAAAATCCCCGAAGGGAAAGACTCGAGCAAGTATAACATGAACTATGAAGGCCCTTTGCTTGCTCTGGCAACTTTTGTATTTCAAAAGTGAACATGAGCACCCGAAGGTACCCAGCTCGCAATCCAGCTCCAGTCGGTCACGGCTACAAGACGTAGCGCTGTGGTGACTGTTCTCCAGAAGGAGAGCCCTTGAGCATGTCCAAATGGACTGGGACAGCTGGATTGAGGAGTTGCGGATGACGAAACGTGTCTGGGGTTTGATATATATCTGGGATTGGGTTAGTGCAGAGTTTTGTATTGATGGACGCCATAGATCAGAATAGCATTAAATTCCGAGGAATGGATTGAGTGTCCTGAGTGTCCAGAGTGTGTCCAGAGGAAGTTGGCGAAAAAAAAAAAAAAGCGGGAAAATAAAGGACGGTGACTCAGCATGTCTATACCGCCCAATTTCTGCCACTTGTAGGATATATCCACTGTTCTAAATGAAATAGATTGTTCCTCACTAGTAAACTCCAACAGATCTTAAAAAAGGTCCCTGGTATATAGCCTCAGAAATATTTCGATAAGATTTAGAAATTGAAAGGACAGGTCTACTATTGGGCTATGCAAAATCACTTTCTGGAGACCAATGCGAAGCCCTCATATGCAGAGCCCTTGTTAATGGTTTTTAACGAATTGACGCGCTTGTTAGGACCTTTAGGCTGCTGCCAACTAAGCTATGGTTGGGCTATTTCAGATGCAGCGTAATTGTGGTCTATGTTTTGACCAGGATGTGTATAACAGCCACAACTTCCCCTCATAACAACCCCAGCCCTCTCGACCACCATCTCTCCGTAGCCCCTATAAGACAGCGTAGAGGGTCCCGTAGCACATGGTACCCGGCCTACCCACATGGATATCAATATCGTTGTCGAGGTCCATGCTCAGGAACAGGTCCGCGCCGAAATCAAACCGGGCTTTCTCGTGCGAGTTCTTTGACAAGTGATTGAGTTTTTGGGGTTCTATAGTCACTTGGCGAGTCCCACGGAATATATGGGGGGGTGTTTAATCACATCCTATTTTCATTCAAGTATACTATGTAGTCACCTAGGTAGTGAAGAAATTTACACTTGAAGATGTGTAAGTTTGATTTATATGTTTGGACTAGTGTAACAAGCTGTCGCTGTTTATGAGCTAGAGGATGTCATGGAGGAAATTGAAAGTAGAATCCAGAAGACTAGTCCCTGAGAGACACATCTATATGATGAGACAAAAGTAAACAGGCCCCCTTGGATGCCAGAGAAACCTGATTCAGTGGATGGGAATACTACTCAGAGCTTCTACTATCAGGATATCTAGACATTCGATAGACTTGATATGAGGTCTTGAAGAATCCATGTGACGAAGCCACCTGAGATGAAACCAGAGGAGCCCTGGGTCCCTTGTTGCCATGCCAGGAGCTTAGGGGTTGGGCGAATTTCTTTGCTTGGGGGCTTGGTATGTCTTCAGCTCGGGTGGAGCAAATTGAGTGGCCTCTCAAGCTCGGACGGGGCTTACATCGCCCTTGATGGAGGGAATCGGCTTCGCGATACGGAGGAAGGCTGTGGGCCCATTGGGAGATTCGCGGGCATCACGACAGACGACCTCGGGAATTTAGCGGAGGCCAGAGTGGGGCGAGACGTAGCGTCTTACCATTGCTGGACGTCCTCATTGATCTTTTGGAGGACTTTCCAGTTTGAAGGGGTAGTCTCGCTCAGAGTCGAGACCTTGTGTTTCTGAGCAGGACCAGGGAACCATATTTTTTCATCAGCCATGATGCCCCGGGGCACCTGCCGGAAAACTAATGACCATGTAATAACTGATATATATGTAACTAGATGCGACGAAGTTCACGATCCACTTCTTATGATATGACTGAGTTTCTATTTAAGATTCATCTACAATGTCTTTTTTGGAGTACTCTTTCTGTCAGCGTTATAGCCAGAATGATGAAAAGAATTAATCGAAAATATATAGCACGTGAATGGCGCCTGATAACATCCCTATGTTCTTGTTCTGTGAAGATGCTAACGTTGCACCACCATATACATGTCGGGAGCTTCCTAAGTGTCGTATTGCACACGATATATGTCTTAATCGGGAAGTTCCTAAGTGTCCTATTTTGCGCACGATGACTGGCCCAGCTCTGAAGGATTCCTCTTAGCAATGCGTCTAGACCATTTTCGGTATAGTGGAACCATGCCAACCCTTTCGCAAAGGCTTAGTTATATAAGGGCGGGGCTACCTAGGTAAGCAATGTCCGAGCTATCCGTGGCCCAGGGGTTCATATCCCATCTTTGCTAATAGGATCAGTATTTAGGGACGATGTCTGGGTTAAGTTCACAGCATATGAAGGGGCGCACTTCATTTGCACCAAGCGGTACCGGATCAAGCAAATGATATTCGTTTCCCATAGCGGAAACGGAAACCAACTAACTTGGAAATTTGGAAATTTGGGGACGCTAGGGCCCCGAGGCCCTAGGTGGAGTTTCCGCTTTGGTCAGTACAACATAGTAATGCGGTATATATTAGGTCCCGTACTTTGATGAAACAAGCATGATCATTTAGACGCTAGTCTCTAGACTGATCCTGTAGGATCGCGTGACCAGCTTATAGTGTTCTGCGCGGAGTAGAGGGACATCTTCTATCTAGTGGAGATTATACCTTTTACACTAAATGGTATCATTAACGATGCTCAACGTCCTTAGGTGTACTCCGTATTCTAAGATGGAAAAGGCCCTTAACGATAAACTCCGCTTATCTAGAATCGATTTCAAGGTTGTCTCGCATACTTGACCAAAGATAAGCAGTCGGATACCGGGTGCCCACAGCACCAGGGAAGTGGGGAATTGGAAACTTCAAGGGCTGATCGTAATGTTCTTCTAGCAAAACCTCCTGTTTATCCTTTACCTGTTCTAGTCAGTGGTCTCGTGTCTATGTACTCCGTACTTGCCTTCATAGTAATAAAAAACCGCTCGTTTGACCCGTTCTGGTCAGTGGTGTCAGGCCCAGCTACCTTGGGGGTATCAATATCAAGATACAAATCATATATAAAGAACATCCTCAGCATGCCAATTAAATTGTTTCTCATCCATCTCCTCTGTCCCATAAACAATCGTTCTTTTGTTTAATCTTCACTTCAAGATGCGAGTCCTAGAACTAAGCGTTTTGGCTCATCTTGCCATCTCGGTGAACGGTCTAGCTGTCCCAGGTGTTGAGGAGGGCAAGAACCACCTGGTCAAGGCTCGTAGGGGAACTGCTGCTTCTAGCGCGGCACCTTCTTCGTCCACCCCTACTGGAGATGCTTGGAAGAACATGAAATGCTCCGAGGTCCAGGGTGACGCGCAGAGTCAATGGCAGGAGGCAGGTGCACAATCTGCCTGGAATACAACCCTTGCGGCCTGGGAGAAGAACCCGAGCGGTAGCTTCCCCCAATATGTCAGCAGCTATCTCCACGGACCTGGCGGTATGAGATGCGGTGACATTGGGTCTGAAAACCGTTGCTCCATGCCTGTGGATTGCAAGGATGCTACCATTCCAGGCGGGTAAGTTACATACTCACTCTGTTTCCTCTTATGTAGTATCGCTAATGACGAGGTAGTGCTCTGATTCTGAATGGATTTGCGGGAATCCATGAAGTATGTCACCAACCTGTCGGTCATTTCTTCAGCTTAAGTGCTAATTACCTGTCTAGCTTCATGCCTCGGCTTTCCAGGCTATCGGGGGTATCCAGGCCGATGTGACGGACCAGATCGGCACCTTCACATCCACCTTCGCTCCTCAGCCTCCCAATACGTCCCTTCTCCAGAAGAACCTCTTCGATGCTGCAGCGTTGATCTTTAGCTTTGGCACATCTATGTTGTTCAACGTCGGTATGTTACTCCTTTTGGCCCCTAGGCCAACAGTATGTGAGATCTAACGTTTACCCAACAGCCCTCAAGCAAATGGAGAATGTAATCGCCAAAGCCATTATGGCCGACATGACGGGTGCTGTCTTTGGTACAGCCACTTCCTATTACAAGACGAATATGAAAGGGTACTACCCCCTCCCATCACTTCAAAGACACCCTAGCCTAACGATTTGATAGTGCGATAGAGGGACTGCAGGTCCAGAACACTATATCTTCTTTCCTGGGCGAGACCATGTCCGCCTGGAAGGGCATTGAGTCAGGTTATCTAGAAGCAATATTCTCTGGAAATGCCGGCAGCAATGGCACCGATGCTCTTTATGCCATGATTAACAATGGAGCCATGGGCGAAGTTATGAATAACATCAACCTCAATGGCACGAGCAAGGATGTGCAAAAGATCCTCTATGGTCAGATGATCCCGTATGCATGGAGTGTTTCTCCGGACCAAGCGCGTCCTTTCATCTGGTAAGTTGGTTCAACAAGCAACTCTGTTTTTTATCTAGCTGCAAAAAAGACTGACTCGAACCGGCGTCTAAAGGCAGAGCGACGATGAATGTGACGGAACCACCAAGTCCATCCCCCAGGATGCCGGTTACTTCGTGTCCAAGGACGACGCAGTCAAGACCAATGTGTGCTATAACGGCAAGATTCATTACGTGCTGAACGGTCACGGAATCCCGGGGACCGGTTTCCCTGCAAGTGCTCTTCCGGGTGGAGACCATAATACCCTGGACGGAACCGCCTGGGGTGGAATTATCCTTGAAGACATTGTCGAAAGTTGCGTGTCGGGATGGACCAATAATAACCAACAGAACGGCTACCCGCGCCCTGATTTCAATGATATCGTAAAAACCTTCGGCGGGGATGTCCCTAGCGTCCGAACTCCTGGATTCATGAGTTTGCCAGTGTGTACTAATGCCACTGCCATCACTGAAACAATGCAACAGGGTGATGGTAACTCGCCCTACTGGCCATGTGCAGACCCCGAGGGATACACTAGCAGTGGTACCAACATTGTAAGTTTGCCGAAAAGGACCTCCTGTCACTCCTTTCCGCGACTAATTCAGACAATAGCATGTTAGCAGCGGTTGTATTGTGATTAATGATTCAAAGCGCTGCCAGACCTCGGGTGGAGCCTATAGTAAGTCGTAACATCGTCCTTTATTAGGGACCCAGGCTGACAGTTCTAGACGTCGCGGATCAGGACAACGCTAATAGCACCGCTACCATATATGCCAAGTTCGACGGTGACAATACTCTTAATGCCAAAGTGACTCCTGGTTGCAAGCTCATGGCAACATGGCCTCGAGGCTATGGTGATCTGGACTTCACCGATAACTGTCTCAAGGATCGCAGTGGAGACTACAGCCAGTGCTGCACCGACGACACGACCAACACTGATGTTGTCAACAACCCATATGCTCCTTGATAAGACATCGAGTCGAAATGTGGATCTTTGGGATTGAGGTCCAGTTGGATGGAAATCATTCAGTTCCGAGGTGCTTTTTAGAGAGCGGATCTTGTCCTTTCCCAGAGACAATGTCTGAGATTCTCTCTTTCAAATTTGTAATCTTCATCGAATGCTTCCAGTCGCGAATATATGTGTATCTTTCTTTATCAACACAGCAGATCTCATTGTAAATGTCTTCATGGAGCCAACTCATAGTCCGTGCTAACACAGGGATTATCTAGCCAAATTCATGGAGTAAATTCTGTCAAAGAATCATCATAGGAGGTGTAACTTATACGAAAACCAAAGGGCTATCGATGTATAGTTACTGATTGAACTAGATAGTGGTAGATCGTAGAACCAATTAACCTACTAGATATAAGGATACTTACCCAAGGCAGAATAAAATAAAGGAGAAAGAATCAATCATGCTTCGATAGCCAGATCTCCAGTTTCCCATAACCGATAGAGTATCGGAATTAGACATAGCGTAGGGATGAGGACCTAAAATTTGTTGCTACTTAGTAAGGCAGGTTCTAAGCAAATCGATCGCTTCTGAACACCGACTAGTAGATTTCAAAGTGAAAGCTAGATTGGCCATGCTCGTCAGCGTAGAGGGATGCCCAGGTGGTCGGCACCGAGCTTAGTCTTGCTTATCTCCATAACCTACACCTGGAGCTACTCAGCTTCCTCCTATCGGCCCTGGGTCCTATACATTAATACAAGGATGGCCATGCTCGTCAGTGTATCGGGATTGCGAAGTGTTATTTATTGATCAGAGTTCATCGAATTAATTACACTTCATGAGCTGTCAAAATCCGTGCCAAGAGGTGTGAGCGCTGAATGGCAGATCAATCAAAAAAAGTTTTCCGACATAGGTGGATTCTTCTTACCCATAAATAACTTAGCGAATCTTCAACATGCCTAGTGTATTCAGATTACTCCTTCACTTCAACATGGACGGTAGCTGCCTTGCCCTCTGTATGCCTGGCTTGCTCCTTTATGTCCGCGACGGCGATCTCACCAACATCAACCGCGTCGTCGCCATCGAAGTACTTGGCGATTTCCTCCATGGGAGTGTAACGGGTTTCGATCAAGAAGGTGTAGATAACGAACACCTCCATTCCCAGGAAAACGCAGTACACGATGTAATACTTCCAGCCAATTGCGTCGAGGGCAATTGCATTAATGTACTGGTTGAAGAAGAGTGCCGCGGTGACACAAAAGTTCAGCCAGGTAAAGCCCTTGGCACGAAGACCGTAGGGAAGAATTTCAGTGGTGTAGGTTGCCATCAGACCAGATCTGAGAAGTGCCTCAATGTCAGCGCTTGCTGGCAAAAAGAAAAAAAAGACTGGGCCGGCTGGGCAGGTCCCCGTACTTACTTGATATCGTAGAATAATCCGTAGAGAACTGTGAGGACCACGAAAATGTATCCAAGCGCCTGATTAGCCGCGATTGCGTACCGTGCCGATACGATAGTCCATGCGTTGAAGACCACGAACGTGCCAACTGTCGAGACCATATAGACTGGCCGTCTTCCCAACCTATCGATGAAGAAGGCTAGAACGAAGTTGGTGACCAAGGCTTCGGTCTTGATACCCGCATTGATTCCAAGCTGCGTGGAGGCCTTGGTGATACCAACACTGTCCATGACCTGGTGGAGATAGTACGAAATCAGACCATTGCCACTCCATTGACTGAAGAGGCCCAGAGCGGTGATCAGGCCGATTCGCTTCCGGTTGCCCTTGGTTTTCAAGAAGTCAACCCAGCGAGTTTGGTCAATCTCCTTATCCAGGTTAATGGCAGCCTTGATCTCCGCATACTCCAGGTGCACAAATGCGTCATTCTGGTCCCCCTCGCCATGGTACTTGATGAGAATCCGCATAGCTTCATCGTGTCTCCCTTGGCTCATTAGCCAACGAGGGCTTTCCGGCATCAGCCAGATACCACACACAATGACAACGGTGCAAATGGCCTGTAGCAGGCTTGGGAGACGCCAAGACCAGTCGCTCTAATGGGAAAAAGGATGTGAGTCGAGAAACAAAGTTTCCAGGTTTGTCAATCAGTTGCACGGTAGCCGTTTGGGAATGATACATACCTGAATCTTCAAAGTGCCCAATGTCACCCAGCTAGCAATGAAGGCGCCAGAGTGATAGGAAGCACCACTAAGCGTGACAAGAACGGCACGGTCTTGTGGATGTGCGATTTCTGCGATCAAGAGCGGGGCGCTCCCGAGAACGAGACAGTCACCAAATCCAATAAGGAGACGGGCACTGATGAACATGCCAAAGCCAGTGGCACCAGACTGCAGACCCACTGCAAGTAGCATGATGAGGCATCCGACGAAACACCCGAGCCTACGGCCCCAGGCATCGATCATGTAAGGCACGACGAACAGACCGAGCAGTGAGCCAAGACTCATGGAGGCATTAAAGAGGCCGAGAAGCGAGCCGTGAGGGTGATTGAAGTATTCCTGCCAATAGGAAAGGGTTTGGAGACCGTTCATCATGGAGCCATCAAAACCGTTGGCTGTGTTGGTCATGATGAGGATGACAATGTAGATGTACAGGGTACGCATATTCTTCCTCTTCCACCAGGGCACGCGCTGGAACTCCTGGTGAGCGAACAAGAAATGTCCCTTCGTGGGCTTGACCGGCATGACCTTTTGGGTCTGCTTCGGGGGCCGAAATCGCAACGCCATGATTGCGAAAGCGTTGAATGGATACAGAGATGTAGATGAGAAAGCAAAATAGGTGTGGTAGTAAGTTGAGGAATCCACTTCAACGGAGCTTTTTAATTAGGAAAAGGCCCTCATTATGAATTTTGAGACAGACACGGACTTGGACAAGCCCAATCCCTCGTACAGATGGCTTGATCGACTCCCGGCTGTAATGCCTCGCGCCGGGCTTGTCATGACATGTAGTCACCCATATTCAGTGTTGAAAATAGCTGAGCTGGGGTATGTTATATTTGCCTGTTCTGCATTTTACCGGAAAAAATGGGGTTATCTTGGACTGCTCGTATCCTTGAAGCGCCCATTGGGCTCATCCTCCATAGGTAGAGGCCATACTCAAGACCCCGTGGGGTGTGGGGTGCGGGTGGAGACTTAGGGTATGCCTTATTTGGCAAGAGGATGATCAACTCAAGGTTTACGGAGTCCGTAGGTAGTCAGCTGGAGGTTGAAACTAAGGCCGGCAAGTGGACGGATCAGCATTAGCCGATTTGAGACCTTGAGATTGACATCCTAGTCGCTCCCCGACTGCCAAGAAGCGGAGCTATGTGATTATTGACTGCTGGTATGTACCTAGGTACTATTCACTATTCCCTTCGGAGCAAATTGTGGAGAGCTGCCTCCTGGACCCTTTCCTCCAATTTAGCCTACATAGCGTGCTTGATATGCTTATTGCTTGGCCTATTAACAGCCTAATTTGCTAATAATCTCCCGGAACTTGCCTAAACTTCAATTGAACCCCCTCTATTTCAATGTTTTACCAAAGGCAGAATAGATGAGATGCTGTGAGCGTTCCAAAGTCAATTTCCTCTAGCTTTCCTTACGCATTGCGCGAGCCATGTCGGATACAGTCAACCCCATCGTACCAGGCTTCGCTCCAGATCCATCCGTGGTAAAAGTGGGCGACTGGTTTTATCTCATCAACTCCAGTTTCCACGTTTTCCCCGGTCTACCTATCTACTCCTCTCGAGATCTGGTATCATGGCAGCAGATCGGTAAGTCCCCCCCCCCCCAGTTGCTTAGTGGATGGGGCACACAAATTCAAGATTCCGCTAACGTGCGAGCGCACAGGAAATGCAATCAACCGTCCGTCCCAGCTCAGCCTCGCAAAGTCGCAGGCAAATCTCTACTCGGTGGATGATGGCAAGTTTATGGTCGGGAGTGGAGGCCTGTACGCACCGACGATCCGTCATCACCAGGGCACATTCTATGTCGTCTGTACCAATGTCATTCGTGCACCGGGGAAGAATAGGGATGCGACGGAGAATTTCATAGTCTCCACCGATGATATCTGGTCAGGCACATGGAGCGACCCGATCTATTTTGAGTTCGATGGAATCGACCCGAGTCTTCTGTTCGATGATGATGGAAAAGTCTACCTACAAGGGTCGGGTGGATTAGGACCAGGCACCACAATCAACCTCTTCAAAATCGACCCGAAGACCGCCGCAAAATTGTCGGAGGAGAAAGTGATCTGGCGCGGCACCGGTGACATTTATCCGGAAGGACCGCACTTGTATAAGTTCAAAGGCTGGTACTATTTGCTCATCGCGGAGGGCGGCACCCATGGCGGGCATATGGTGACCATGGCACGCTCTCAGAACGTCTTTGGCCCATACGAATCGTGTCCAAACAACCCGGTCCTCACGGCGCGTGGTACTCAAGAGTATATCCAATATACCGGCCACTGTGAACTATTCCAGGACGAGAAGCGCCAATGGTGGGGAGTCTGCCTTGGGGCCCGCCTAGAGGACCAAGGGAGATGCCCCATGGGTCGCGAGACCTTTTTGACTCGGGTGGACTGGGATGGTGAATGGCCCGTCTTCGATCAAGTGAAATCGAACCCTCGCAGCCTTTCAGCAACCCGTTCGAACTCACACCTCGCGGCGGAAGCCCGGATGGACTACCTCTACATTCGAGATGCTGTCATGAGCAATTACCGACTCGAGAATAATGATTCGTCTGTGACATTGACAGCGTCATCGGTCGATTTGTCCCACCCGGAACACAGTCCGACCTTCATTGGCAAGCGGCAACGGCAATTAGCCGGCACGAGCACAGTGGTCCTTGAAGGAATCGAAGGTTCCTGGAGCTCTGCAAAGATCCAGGCTGGGCTCGCCTGTTACAAGGAGGAGCACCGCTACTCAAGGATCTACTACGACGCTGCTCAGCAGGCGGTAGTCCTTGAACTGGTCAATGCTGCTAAGAAGATTGTTCGAACTGAGAAACACACCCTCGGGGAAGTCCCTCGCTCCTTACTTTTCCGGATAGAGTACACTGAGAAGCAGTATTCTCTGCTTTATTCATTTCTACCCCACGTCGGGAATGACTGGACGTGCCTGGGAACAGTTGATACTCTGGATGTGACTGATCCCGATTTCACCGGCCCGATTATCGGCGTCTACGCTGTTGGGAAGGCGGAGGGCGTGCAAATTCAGTTCGAGGGCCTAAATGTCGACTAACTGGCGAGTCTCGCTTGTGAAATGCAAGTTCATCATGCGCCTCTATTAAAACTACTATCAGAATTTGCACTTTCTATTTCGGACCTTGGAGCCACGATCGTTTATTGAGGACAGCCCAAGCACTTCTCAGTAGGAACTTAGTCCACATGTAGACTGGCCTATACGCCGGAGACGAACTGGAACCTCACTCGAAATGGACCATTTTACCTCCTTATTTCTGTTACAGCCAGTTGGGGCACCGTCCATCTACGGGGAGCGAGAGTGGAAAGAAGAAGTGGAAGGCAATTCATTCTGTAGTAAGGCCATAAGGCACCGACTTTTGTATAATAGATTGCGCATGACATCTTCGTGGTCTGAATTTTGACGAGTTCGGGCATGGAATCCAGGGGACAAGAACAACACAAGTCACAAAGCCTATCCATGTGCTTCAGTGGATGCGGGCTGAATGTGGACGGGCACAGTAAAATTATACTGTGCATCAGGCGCAGGCAGCGTATCGATTACTGCAGGATTACCCTTCAACGTAAACTCGAAAGTCAAGCTGTCGAATATTTCCCATGCAATCTTATACCGACCGCCCTGGGAAAATGACGAAACTTCCATTCTCATCAGCTCTGGCCAGTGAGCTGAGAGTGAGAGGCAAGTCTGATATTTGTTCGCTTCCACTTGTAATATTGTGGAGGCGCAAGTAAGATACCAGGGATTTATTTGGTCGCGCAGTCGGGCCCGCATCCTTGCTGGAAAGGAACAACAAGCTAACGTAGTCGGAAGTTTCATGGCCAACATTTTTGACCCGCGCCTTGACAGTGGTAAAGGGTGTGTTGTCATTGACTGGACGGTCAGAACTTCTTTGGCATGAGGCAACAAGTTGCTGAATGTTGTACTCACGGTTCAAAGTCTCTTCCCACTTAAATTTGAACTCTGTGTAGTGAAGGCCGTAGCCGAATGGAATCACAGACTTTCCTGTGTACCATTTGTAGGTTCGCCCAGGATATGAATCTTTCATATTAGGGCGAAGGTTGATGTCGAAGATACTGACTTGGTCGGCATAGCTGGCGGGATACTGTGTGACTGGCAGTCTACCAGCAAGTGACCTTCTGCCCAGAAGGACATCAAGAAGAGCAGAGCCTCCGCTCTGACTAGGATATCCCGCCCAAACCAGAGCTTGGACACCTTTGTCCTTCAGGAGGATACTGTCATCGACCTGGCCGCCGCCAAATTGGACCACGATCATTGGCTTCGAGAGCTTGGATAAGCTTGTGATGAGATCGAGTTGGTTTTGTGGCCAAGTGAGCGAAAGTTCGATCAAGTGTTTCGGACTCTATGGAATTTTCGATGCCACCAAGGTAAATGATCAAATCAGACTTCTCTGCGGCTGCAAGAGCTAACCCAAATCTAGTGGTACTCTGATTATTGATTTCTGTACCCAAAGCATAATTCACTTTCCACCTGTGGTCGCTCTCAAATGCTTCCAATGGGCTAATCAAAAATGGTGCATTGCCTGAGTAGTCGCCTTGCATCTGAGTCGTGGCGTTTGCGAATGGTCCAATCACGGCGATGCTTTTGTATTTATGCGAAGAACCCAGAGGAAGCAGCTTGTCATTTTTGAGAGGCGTCATACCTTCGACTGCAGCCTCATACGCGAGAGCCTGTGCGACAGGGGTAGAAACGTTCGAGAAATCGAGATCGTTGTACTTTCCGCCATCGAAGAAGCCGACTGTGAACAAAGCCGAATATAGTCTTGTCAGTGCCTGGTCCAAGACTTCGACTAAGGTCTGATTTGCTGCGAGAGACTCGTTGAGCTTCAGATATGAGGAACCGCATTCCAAATCAACCCCGGCATTGAGAGCAGCGGATGCTGCCCCTTCGGCAGTGTCTGTAAAGTTGTGATATTGCCAGATGTCTGTGACTGCACCGCAGTCAGATACCACGTAATGATAGTCGGCAGTGAAATTCAGTGCTTTCTGAGTACCTTGTCAAGAAGGTATTCATTCGCACAAGCTGGGATGCCGAAAACTGCGTTGTACGAACACATGACGCTTCCCACATCCGTGTCATGTACGCAGGTCTTGAACGGAGCCAGGAAGTAATCACTCAGATCCTGCTGAGTAGGGTTGTAGTTATTCCCATATCTGCCCGTCTCCAAGTCGTAGACTGCGAAATGCTTGCATGTTGCAATGACTTGCTTGTCCTTCGGGTCATCACCCTGAAGCCCAGGAATAAAATTGCGAATATAACTCTGCGCGACAAAAGTATCTTCGCCGGGTGTCTCTTGCCCTCTGCCCCATCGAGGATCTCTGAAACCATTGATATTCGGAGCCCAGAAATCGAATCCGGAAAACCCATTGTTGGCAAACGCTCGTCCTTCTTTGCAAATGACTTAAGCTATTTCACAAATCAAAGCGTCGTCGAAGGAAGCCGCCGTCAGGATCGGTGCAGGAAAGCTTGTGGCATAACTGAAATGTTTGGAGGTGAATTGCACACCCGGTGCGGAGCCAACACCCTGCGTTGCCTCATTCCACCACTCGTAGGATGGCAACCCGAGACGGGCAGATCAGGGCTGAAGCGTCGACAACATTGAGGATCTTTTCCTCCAGGGTCAGGGAGTTGACAAGCGAGTCTACTCTCTCTGCAATGCTCAACGAAGTATCACAGACATGGTGACTGCAGAGGGGCTGTGTTCGGCAGGCTGGCACGAACCCAGTGTTCGTTACGTTCCCTTGCGGATTCACGATCTTGTACAAAGACATGCTAAATACAGTTCGAGAATATTAGGATCATATTCTCTTTGAACCTGCATTTGACTTACACATAGGTTCCTCCGCAGGAGCTGGATGGCTCAGTTGAGCATCTCGAGTTGCAGCTGCTGTCATTTGTTTTGCTCGCGGTGCTGAAATCGGGCATATTCCCACAGAAACATTGCCTCTTCGGGGATTAGCTTGGGAAACTTGCACCATTAAACACCCGTACCGGCTAAAAAAGCAGTTCACTTACGTTCCAAACTCGATGCCTCCATATGCAAAGCCCCTTTGACCGCACCAGGTGGCACAGTACTGGGGCGTCATGCCAATGGTGCCTCGGTTCCAGGTACATGCCTAGCATTGCCCGTATCCACTCACCTCGCCCACCTCGCCCACCCGTCTCCCATACTGTCTGATCATGTTCCGCAAGCTCCGTGTTAGTGGCAGCCAGCCCGCGCCATCAGCGCCGGCCACGACAGTGGAGAGCAAAACCGTTGACCCATCCCCTCGCGCCATCCATATCAGCGACGTGAGGCGGTCACTCACCAGGCTACCCCGCAAACCCGGCTCCGATCCACAGTCCATATCCATTATCGTCGCGAATGCCAAAGGCGCCGCCGACTCCTCGTATCTTTACAGTGTACGTACCCAGCACAATATGCTCCGAGTACCCCCAGCCGAGCTCACCCGTACGATTCATTAGCTACTCCAGAGAGAGAAGGCCTACGGCGAGTTTGACCCTACAGGCGACTTCGAAACAGATTACCTTTGCGACGGTCATGTCTACAATGTCCGCTTCATCCCGCCTAACGTCCTAGGCCTTGGCCTAGCTTACCCTCTGCCTCATGCAGCATGTCTGCCTCGTCTTCGCGTACGACGCTTCGTCGAGGGAATCGTGGGACGAAATGGTCGCCGCCTGCGAGAGGATGCGTAGCCGCTGCGAAGACGGGGTCCTCCCCTTTCTTGCGACAATGATCGCCGCTATAGGTGAAGGTGAAGCCCTAGTGTCGCACGCGGAAGCTAAGGCGTTTGCAACCCAGCGGGACTGTCGCTTTGTCAAGTTCTCGCCCGCAACTAGGCGCGGCATTTGCGAAGCGGTCAGCTCGCTAGTTGAGCTGGCGCACGGTGCTCGTGATAAGTATGCTATGAATCAGGAGGGTTATACCCAGAGGTACAAGAGGGCGGAGGCATTACAAGCATTATCTCCCACCTAGGGATGCCCAGCTCAAGACTGATATCATACCTGATTCAGAAGTATGCTCATCAAAGACATTTACAGTCGAACACGCATAGCTCTAATTAAATTCATGTTTCAATTCACATACATTTGATTCAATTAATCTATGGGAACTGTCTGTAGATAGCCCAGGACATAGGTGCAGGTGCAGATGCAGAAATCCCAAACACGACACATGGAACTGAGAAGAGAGGAAGAAAAAGGAAAATCATAATATCATGGTAATCGTTCAGAATCATAGGTAGCTTTCAGATGTTTTTCAATAAGTGTAATCAATCCCGTGAAGCCCATCACACTCAATGATGCCGCTCACGCATCTCAACAACAGTAGTCCAACCCTCACAGCAAGATCGGCTCATATTATGTCCACACCAGCAGCAGGTCACCTTGCGAGGTAGGAGAGGCGCAGGTTGCAGATCGGACATGCCCTGGGTAGCATGGGGAGCTGGGAATTGACCGAATGGCAGAGATCGTGAGCCTGTCATCTTGCGGGTACCGGTGTCGGGTTGTTTCTTGGAGCGGGATCTGCCCAGCTTGAAATCAGAGCCTAGACGCTCGGGGCAGGCGAGTCGTGCGTAGACTTCGGAGGGGAGGTCGTGCCAGTACTTGCAGCGGCAGCAGATTACGAAGATCTTGGCGATGGTTTGTGGGCTGCGGGCTGCTTTCGCTTTTTGGGATCTTCTTTTGAGGATGCTCATGGGGCCTGGTCGGGTTTGGGGGCTGCCGGGTTGGGCACCCGGTTGGGTGCTGGGCTGCATGCCGGGATGAATGTCGGTCTGAGTGCCAGGTTGGGGGCCGTACTGCATGCCGCGATAAGTATCAGGGTGAGAGCCAGGTTGCTGGATAGGCTGCGAGGCAGGCTGGGTGCTGGGTTGAATGCCAGGTTGGATGCCAGGCTGGATGCTAGATTGGATGTCTGACTGGGTGCTGGGTTGAATGAGTGGACTAACAGGAGCCTCCTGTGCAACTGGCGCTTCAACAGCAGATATCGCAGGACTGGCAGCAGAGATCGAGGGAGTGGTATCCACGCGAGTCAGCGAGTTGCGTTTGAATCCAGGGGATTCAGGTGTATCTTCGTCGGCAGTGTCATAATTAGAATGACCGTCGTGGGAGGAGGTGTGTGAAGGAGAGCGGCTATGTCCTGGTATGAACCCTCCAGGTCCTCCAACAGCAAGGATATTTCCTGGGAGTTCGGTGGAAGTGCGAGAAGCTCGACGGGGGGATCTCGCAGGAACGGTGTAAGTGCCATCCGACAGGTCTTTAGATGTTCGGCTGTTTCTCTCGCCGGGTGAAACACTTCCTGTGTGGAATGGAGATCTGACCGCTGCCTGGAAGGGAGACGCTGGGATGTCTCTGAGCGTATCAGTTGACGTGGTTGGCATTCTCCGAATCTCCAGACTCCGTCTTTCGCTCTTGACTGGGATCTGTGGCATTTCGATCGACTGCAGAGTTTCTTGGAAGTTTTCCTTGAAACGACTTGAAGTTCGTTTGGGGATATGCGACGAAGCGATAGGCAGCCGGCTTCTTCCTCGATCCTCGGATTGCGGTTGAGCGGGGGATTGCGGTGACTGGGATTGGTTTGCATGCTCAAGGTTTTGTGTTGTGAGTGGTCTTGGAATCCTAGAATCATTCTGGGACAACTCATTCGTATTCGCAGGATTCAGGGCGAGGGGAGATGACTTGTATACTCGCGGGAAGGGATCCACTCGGTTCTTCCTAGCAAGGCTCCCCGTGGAGTGTATTAGTGCTGGGTCAAGTGGTGGTGGGTAAGACCTGGCACTGGATGGACTTGACGGGTTGTCTGGAGTTTCTGGTATTAACTCCTGCAACTGACGAGCCGTGGTAACCTGAGTAGGTGAATCAGGAAAGCCGGATGAATAGACGTTAGGCTGGCTCAAGCTTTGCGACATTGGCATGCTAGTAGCCCCGACGGAACGGTCATGGCGATTCACACGATCAAGAGGGTTCTCTGTCGCGGGCACACTCTTCCTGTCATGCTTCAGAGCTGCAGAAAACAGTTCTCTATCCAGATCATTCGAGGATGCTGGTTTCTCGCCGTGTCGAGCAGTATTTCCAATCACGGACCGACTACCGGTGGGAATCTGCTTCGACACTGACCGATTGGACTCACGTCCGTCCTTTGTTTTCCAGGCTTCTGCCATCCTCCAGTTCTCACGAAGATCATCAGACTTTGCTGAGGCGTGCAAACGGTTGTGCTGGGTTGAGTTGGACATTTTGTTCGAAGCGGATAGATTCAGTGCGGTGCCGTGCTTGGACTGTAGCTCTCGGGTGATGGCCGTTCCAAACCTTTCCGGTAGAGTCAAAGGCAGAGAGGGTGGGTTCGTATCTGTCCTAAGCTGGCTAAACTCGGCAGACGGAAAGTCTTGCTCACTCGAATTTGAATTCCGGCGTGATCGCCGGAAGATCGAGGACAGGCCACTTGACGATCTCGGACGCTCTGCATTCGCACTGGAGCTTCTGCTTGAGCTGCTCACGGGTTGTTTCTTGGTCAGACGGCGAGAGTATCTTTCGTAGACTCCGAGGTCGGCCTTGGATTGAGCATCCTCAAGTGCTAGCAACCGCTTCTCGAGCTCCTTTCTCTCGGCTTCCAGGCGCTTTGTGACCCGCTTTTCTTTCTTTTTGGGTTTATCCCAGGTTGGTGATTTGCAGATATTGTCTACATCTCCGCTGGGATGTCTAGGCAAGGGCGTCATTTGTTGGGTCGGAGTCTCATCCTCCATCGGGGCCCCGTTTGCGACTGATAGACTTGAGCCAGGCGTACCAGTGGAGGGCAAGCGAGAGTTGGAGGAGTAAGAGAGCGAGCTGGGCCCTGTCTCATCGTGCAAAGAGTGCCTCGCATAGGAATTATTATCGGTTGCCGCCTCCTGTGCGAGAGCTTCGCGGGCGAGAAAGGGAACTGGGGGAACAAATTCGCCAATATGACTGTGTCGTTTCTTCAAGAGGTCAAATGAAGTTCCTCCTTTTTTTTTAATGCTGTAGTTAACTTACATCCATGGATTTGCTAAAAACGCGGTGGATGTGGTCCGAGATAGATGATCGACGGGCCCTGCGGGGCGGATCTGCGGAGAAGGCCTCCATAGGAGTTGGTAAACTAGTTTAGCGAACGTCTGATTTGAAAAGAAGCGAGTGACATTGAACTAGGAGACAGTTCAGAGATCGAGAGATCGTGAGGCGTGAGATATGAGACGTGAGGCGTGAGTCGTAAATCGTAAATCAAGCAGAGAAACAAAAACGAGAGACAAGGCCCAAGGCCAAAGGGAAACACAAAACAAAAAGAGAGAAAAAGAGGAAAAAGAAAGAAAGGAAAAAAAAAAGTATCGTTAAACAGTCGAGAATCGAAGAAATCCCCAAATGTGCTGGTATTGGCTGCAGCTGAAACCCTCCCACAGCACTGGAGAGCTATTCTTAGGTTTTTTTTTTTTTTTTAATCGTCTGATCTGTAGATTTATATATTGACAATATATATATATATATATATATATATAGTCAGATATATCCAATTTATATATGTAAATCTATGAACACGGAGAGAGATAATCTAGCTAAACTATTGACCAAATCCAAATAATCCAAATCAGTCAAATTCCAAACTGTTCGAATTGTGAAACTGTCAGAATGAGAGAATCCAAGCGTCCGAAGCCCAAAGAAGTCAAGGAGTCACACTCGCCCCCTCCGCTTGGCATCAAAATCAAAATCTCACCCTTTGACATCTCCCCGAGAACAACTAAAACAAATACTCTGCACCACCCTTAAAACTGTTACCCGTTACTCAGTGATACAAAACCCACAATACAAAAGAAGCTACACAATGTCTAACCAACCCCACAACGACCTCCCGCCAAGTTATGATGCATCACAACAATCCTGGGGAAACGGCACTCAGCCACAGGATGCTTCAGCCTCAGCCAATCCACCTCCATATCACAACTGGCAGGAAGCAGTCCCAGACACAGCCACATTCCCACCACCCCCAATCACCGGCTACCTAATCTCAGGCACCGGGAACGCATCCGAAGACGATGCCCAACGCGCCCATGATTTCTGCGATTCCGTGCCCCTCTGGCTCCCAACCCAGCCCTCAACTGCCGTCTACCACGACGTGCAGGCCTACGACCTTCGACCCGTGCAGCCAGCCGAGCTGCGTGGCCATGTTTCGGCCGTTGCATGCGGCCGCTGGCGTGGACATAGCGTCGATGGGAACGGGGATTGTGTCGTTCTTACCCAGCTGCCCATGTACTTCCCTGCTGCAGACTCACCTTTTGTGCGGGAGCAGAAGAAGACCATCTACTTTGAAGTTAAGTTGTTGGCACTGAGGGCGGGGCCGACGCCGCAGGATTGTAGTGGAATTTCGATTGGGTTTGCTGCGCAGCCTTATCCGTCGTGGAGATCGCCTGGGTGGGAACGGGGTGGGTTGGGGGTGTTTTCGGATGATGGGTGTCGGTTTGTGAATGATTCGTTTGGGGGCCGGAATTTTACCACGGCGTTTAAGGTGGGTGAGACGGTTGGGTTGGGGATGGAGTTTGAGCTGCCGGAGAACATCTGCAGTGGGGATAAGAAGCGTAAGAGATGCAAGGTGCATATCTTCTTCACACGGAATGGATGCCGATCTGGGGGTTGGGATCTGCATGAGGAGGTCGATGCGGATTCTGGGGGTGTTGAGGGCCTGGAAGGGGACTATGACCTCTACGGGGCGATTGGGCTGTTCGGTGGCGTCGATTTCGAGTCTTGTTTTGACCCTGCAGGCTGGCTATGGAAGCCGGAATGAACGTGTGATATCTGCCATATAAGGAGGGCCAGCAGGTCATAGGGCTGAACTGTTTTTGCTTTTTCTTTTATGGTTTATGGCTTTATGGCTTTTTATATACTCATTTAACTAGTACCTAGGTATAGCTTGATAACAGAATCCCAAATTAGCTTCAATATGAGCTCAAATTAGTAACACTTAATAAAGAAGAACATATAAAAGCCAAACCAAAAAAAACAAAAAAAAACCAGCCAACATCTCCATGTCGGACTAATTTTACACAACCTATTTCAACGGCCAACGCCGAGGCTTGATACCCTGAATTGCGTAAATGAGATTCTGCACGTGTGTTCTAGAATGGTATTTTTATTTTTTATTTATTACTTTCGGCCACATTATTCCTGGTAACTGCAGCGCATTAGTGGCCGGGGGATGCACGAGGTGCAGTTCCGCTACGACGACGGTCCTTGCGACGTCTGATGAGCAGGTGCATCTCTGCCGCTTTTCCGTATGGTCCCCGGTCTATAGCTGCATGAACGGGAGGAAATCGTTTTATTTGACGTCAGGATGCGCCGAGCGCATTGCGATCTTTGTCCTTTTGCATATCGATGTTGATTTGGGCGTTGGGATACGAGGGATTTGGTTTCGGAGAGTTCTTTGTTCATATTCTAGGGTTTAATATTTATGTGGCTGTATGTATATGTAAGATAACAGCAGAAGTAGAGACAGAGAAGATGGTATACATAAGCAGAGTACAATTGAGGCTGATACTCGAAATAAATGTACATGTAGTTAGACTTGACCCCGGTACTTACAAAGAAAGAAAGAGTAATACGCACTGACAGCAATACGGAGATAAGCGTGCGCTCGGTGCTCTCCTAAATGGCCATGTTCGTAAACGAGCATGCGTCTATTCATCAAACTGCTCGTATCTGCATATCAATAGCCGGGTTCATAAGAATTAGTACAAAAGAGCCGCAGTGGCCAATCTCGGTCCGAGATTCACGATTTGAAAAGTCAAAGTCAAGTGCTATATAGCCAATATGATTGCGAGCTACCTAAGTACATATGTATATTGTACATATCCATGGATGTCAACTGGTAGTATTAGGCTCTAAACGGAGAAGCCTTGGGTTCTCGTATGCCTGTTATTATGTAAACTTGTATTTAAAATACCTAATTAAAATACAAAGCCAGTGGAGAACCAAAGTCGGTGATAATCCCGAGACCAGCCACCAAGCCCATATTGCTGCAACTAACCCACCAGAGAGCGGCTAGAATGGCACGGATGTTTCCACTTTGAATACCAGTTATACCCCGGCTAAGATCATCCTATTTGTACTTTAAGGGAAACTACGCGGGATCATATTAGCTCCAGCTATTTTATTTTCATTTTCATTTGTTGTTAATATGGGTGTGAATCCTTATTTTTTTTTTTATTGAGGGGTAAATACATATGTAGAAAATTCACAATGGGTTTGTGTACTATCTTTGTTCGATCCACTGAAAAAGTTACGACCGCCCCCCCACAGCCGATCTAAATTTCTGAATAATGCTATGCACCTAAGGAAGAATTGAACTAGAGCTGAAAGGGTAACAGAATATCATCTAGAAATGGGAAGGGGAAATTTGGTCTGATCGACTGCATGTCATCGCCCCTTTTTCCCGTGACAGTCGAGGATCCCGTTTAGCCCCCACCTGGGCATTTATTTGATATGACCTCGGGTCTATGCGTAAAACCCACATCCCTCCCCCTCCCCCCCCTTCTTCCTGTCTTTCACAAATCATATTGAAAGTGTGAAATAGAAATCCGGCCATTCCCGGCTGTCGGTGGAGTTGGAGCGGGTTCAATACACTACTGGGAGTCCGTGCAGCCGAGATACGCGTTTGTTTCACTCAAGACGTGATCTGGGCACGGCCGGAGACCGTGGTTATTTTGTACTTTTTCAAAGCGTCGTCTTCGGCTCGGCCGGGAGAGAAATAGAGAAACGGGGTTAAATGTACAAGGTACGGAGTACAGAATATGCATATGCAGAGAACCCAGATGGAACTGTTGCAGATAAGAAAAAAAAAAGAAAGAAAAAAATCCATGAATTGCCACTTGTAGAACCCTATGAAAAAAGAAGAGGTCTTAGCCATTTGCCAAAAGTACCAGATTGCGAGTTTGGACGATCACGACCAAAAAGATATCCATATTGAGCCTTCTGCAGATGCATTAATTCCATCTTCTCCGGCCGTGCCCCCATTCCGCTAAGGCTGGAACACCTTTTAGACGCCAAAGCGACACTGGCGCGAAGTCAGCGGTTGTCTACTATCTGCGAAAGGAAGGAGTTGAGAGGGTTGAAAATCACGGTACCAATCAGGATCCTGGTTTCATTAGGGGATGTGTCTGAATTGAGCAGATGCTACATGTTAGTACGGAGTACTCCGTAGTATAGGAAGTATTGTCTAGGGTGGTAGGTTAGTGTATAGAGTGTATATTGGATATTGGATATTACAACATAGATATTAGATTCTTATGCCAAAATATGCGCTATAATACTAATGTGAGCACGGTCCAGGTTCCCTTTTCTCTTTCACTTTCATTCACATTCCAGTATACCCATGACCGGGAAATTTACCTTCACGCCACCGAGGCAGCTGGTTGCCCTTCGGCATTAAACGCGCAATCAGGCGATCTGTCGACATTCGCTTTCTTTTCCCCCTCCTCATTGCCTCCATTGCCCCCCATTTTCTCATATCTTTACAAACTCTTAGTAATGCATATAAACGTGGACTCCATACCGGGTATTGCCCCACCTCTGTGAAGAGAAGCAACCTGTTACACCGGGCACTTTAGCGATCGCCACTAGGATTACCCGTATTTTTATTTTTATTTTCAGTTCGGAGGCATTTTTTTTCATTGGGACTATTGCTACCTGTACTCCGTAATAAGCATTTGACTCCAAGTTACACCTAGGGCACTTTGTTCCGACCAATATGCGCGTTAGTTTTTAATCTGTTAATATAGAAAAAAAAAGAAAAGAAAAGAAAAAAATCGACAGTTTTATTAGCCCGAGTACTTTTGGCGGATCTTCTCCATTCTGCTGCGGCCACGCTAATTAGTACATGGATGTACTCCGTACTATGTACTAGTATTGTGTGAAAGTCGCAATTGTTCCACAAATCAACTTTTTATCAAAGCTATCATAGAGGTATTGTACAACATAATTATGGAAATATATAAATAGAGATATCTCAGGTCTGTGTCTAGCTATGAGTTCCGGTTATTGCCTGGGCACCAATGAAGGGTCTCTCGAGTTCCGAGGCAAAGAGCATTCGTGCATGGTCGGATATGTTGTCCATTGTAATTGCTTTTGTGTTGCCTTTTTGCCAACAATGGAAAAAGAAGAAGGAAAAAAAAACTTATGTATTGTCTCATGGTACCTGGGAACAAAGTACCTTTGGTAGGGTTGCATTGCTTGGAAGAACAAAACCACCAGGTATTTAATATGCATCCAACCCAAACGGTTGCCTATTATCCACGATCTTATGTTTTAAATCTTATTTTTACTGTAGCATCACTAAACAAGTTAGCATAATTAAAAAAGCAAAAAGGAAAAAAAAAAGAAACAAGAAAGGTACATGCATATGTTCCCCACAGGGCATGCTGAGCATGCTGAGCATGCTCAGCAAGACATCCATTTAACTTAAACCTTGGAATCTTTTACAATGATATACTTTGTATTCACATGATTCAAACCCATAAAGTATATGTATATTTATATATATATATATATTCATATCAGGTATGTAAGAAACGTAAAATACTCTGCATGGGCCTCCAATCCCCCTCTCCACTCTTGGACGGCCTCTAGATCCCAGGGTCTCTGACGCACGAGGCAAAAACTACCTGCAGCACACTCAAAACGACAATCAAGACTGGGGCATAGCTTTTTTAGTTCGGCGTTTTATTTTATTTTAGTTAGTATTTTTTTATAATTCATTTTTACCTTTTAGTATATTAATATTATTCTATATTATCCTATTTATTTTGTTTAGTTCATCGCATGTGCTGCCTTTCTTCCTACTTTAATCTCTCCCTCCCTCAATCAAAGTACTCATCTCTTTTTTCCCTTTTCCCTCTTCTCTTTTCCTTTTGAATCGAAGGAAGCATTGTCTCCTTGACATTCGTTAAGACTTGGATTAACTAAGCCTACAGAGGCAATTGACCGGACTTGGTCAACAGGTATAGCGCATTGAATGCTCATACCTCCCTGTCTCTAAAAAGGAAGAGAATCCCCCCCTTGCCCCCCAAAAAAATAGTTAGGGTTACGTGGGGACAGTCAAGTTTCACACCATGGCATTCCCGTTTCTGCGAGCATTCGTCACACTCTTGTGAGTACATGTTGGGAGCTCATTCCGACCACTAGCTAACGAGTAACCAGTCTCTATCGTTACACTCGACTCGTGTTCAACTTGTTCTCCTTTTGGTCATTTAAGCCAATTCCACCACCGGAGAACCCCAAACTGACATCGCAAGATGTGACGGTGATCATTCCATCGTTGGAGGGCTGTGGCGATGAGCTGGTGGAGACAATCCGGACAATTCTCGACAATCACCCTTTCGAATTGCTCCTGGTGACAATCGAGGCCAATCGCACCAAGGCCGAGGAGATGCTGAGCGCCATGCCAGCATCCAAATCTCGAATTCGTTTGTTCACAGTCAAGCATCCCAACAAGCGCCGTCAAATGACCGAAGCTATCCCCGAGGTCCGAACCGACATTACCCTTCTCGCCGATGACGACGTGAGCTGGCCGCGTACTCTCCTCCCCTGGATTCTGGCCCCCTTCGAAAAGGACGAGAAATACGGTGGAGTGGTGACCTGTCAGCGATTGCGCCGGGCGATTGCGCCGAGCCTCTCACAGCGAGTCTGGGGCTTCTTGGGTGCTTTGTACCTGGAACGACGCAACTTCGACTGCGGCGCGACTACGCATGTGGACGGTGGACTTCCCTGCATGTCGGGACGGACGGTTGCGTATCGGACACGAATTCTGCAGAATGAGGCCTTCACCTATGCTTTCACCAATGAGGAGTGGTGGTGGGGGAAGTACCAACTCAACGCCGACGATGATAACTTTATCACCCGTTGGATGGTCTCGCACGGATGGGAAACTTATATGCAGTACCACCCAGAGGCAGAGGTGCTGACAACTCTCGAGGACAACCCTCGTTTCTTGAAGCAATGCGCCCGCTGGTCCAGAAGTAATTGGCGGAGCAATCTGACTTCGATGTTTCACGAAAAGCACATTTGGCAGTGAGTGCAACTTTTCCCCTCCCTCTCGGTTTTGCTTTCTCTTTGATCGGGTCAAAAAGAGTCTTTTTGGTCCGAGTCTAGGCGTAAGGCCTTGGTGTGACCCTGGGGAAACAAAGAAACAACTTTCTTTCTTTGCTAGCAGAATCGAGCTAACATTTCTATAGTCGTCAACCTTGGAGCGCTTATGCCGTTCACCTGACCACTTTGTCGCCGCCTGCCTTTTTAGGCGACATTTTACTTGTCTGGCTGTGCCACAAGGCGACTGGATCGTGGGGAGAATCATTGCACGATCAATCCATGACTATGCTCTACCTCTGGATCTTCACTAGCAAGTGGATTAAGCTGTTGGGTCATTATCTTCGCTATCCAGTCGATGTGCTGTTGCTACCAGTCTCGGTCATCTTCGGTTATTTACACGGTGCAATCAAGATGTACGCCGTAATGACATTGAATGTGGTATGTTAAATTCTTTCCTTTCCTTTTTTTTTTTTTAATTCTTTTCATATTTTGTTTCGCATTTCTTGGTTTTGTTTTGTTTTTTCTCCTTCCTTTTTTCCTTATCTGGTGCACATAAGCCGAGAGTGTATCCAAGCGCAACCCCCTCCTATGACAACTCAGCATCACAGCGCTTTGATCATCGTCTCCTCTCGCTTGCAGCTCTGTTTACCCACTATTTGCCTATTTTTCCGATTGTTTTAGATCGCGCAGCTATCTGCAGTTCTGATTTGATCTTTGGCATATTTTTACATCTGATTATCCGAGAGCTCGACTGACTTTGAGTTTTTTTTTTTTACAGACAACATGGGGTAGCCGTGATGGCGCCGATGATTACGATGCTGAGCGTATGAAGAAGCGGACGGATGCCGATCGAATGAAGCAACCGTACTATCCGCAATATCTCATTAAATGAGTTCTTCGATTTTTTACCGAAGATCCATTTCCTGTTCTACTTTCCCTCGGGGATTGGTCTACCATATCCCTTTGTACTGGGAACAGGGAGAACTTCTAGCCCATTGACTTGGCCCTTTATATCATGACGAAACGCCGTGACGACACCCATATGCTCTGCTTTGATTCTAGATCTGCCCTGGTTTTATCCCTTTTCTTCTCCAAACCTTCTACCCTGGCCATTCTGCCTGTGTCGCCAAGTTGTCGAGAGTGATACGAGCTTCGAAGTGGCAATGCTCTTCCTCTCCAACGTCAGTTCCTCACTAATGAGTGTGGCGTCTTTACTTCTTCTGCCCAATGTTTGTCTTTCTCTGCACATGATTGCCTGGTTATCAAAAACAAAAATGGTGGCCGGTCTCCATTCATCGAGGCTTTTTTCCCCTTCTCTTCTTGTAAATTACAAAAGCATGGGCGGATGTCGTCGTTTTGCGATTGTTCTGTGCTTGACTCTTTGCGTCTCAGTTTGCTTTTCAGCTTTGATTCCCCTGAGTTTTCTGTGAGAGCTTTTTGTCCTTTTTCTTAGATGCAAGGTGGTATTCTGAACTTTTAGTTGTTTTTCTCTTTTGCTTTTACCAAACTGCAGATAATCTCTAATTGATTCGAATATACGCATACCAATTATCCAGGGATATAGAGAATAGAACCCTAAAGCTACCTCGGAGCAATGGATGCATCCTGTCATAGTTTCTACTTCTGATGCCATGCAGATGATTCGGTCTAGAACCAGCCCAAAGAGGCTTGGATGTAGTACGAAAATAGTGCCAAAGTGAGCTGATCATGTATAATTCACGTGAGACAAGGTACTTCCGTAGTTAGTTAACTAGTTAGTTAGTTAGTTAGTTAGTTACTCGGTAGATTGTACATGTAGATCTCGTTTGGGGTTAAGATGTGGCGCGTGTGGCGAGCCAAGACTTTCCGGGCCAAAATGTTCGAGTTCCAAACACTCTTTGGATCCAGGAACCAATTGTCCCCCTCCAACCCCTTCTCTCTTTAATCTAATACATTGCCAAGGGCCTGGTCCTTCGCTTAAGAAATGGTCGCTTTTGCTCGCGCTGCGCTTCCATCGCAGCTATCCGCCGTTGCCCGTCACCCCGTCTCGTTATGCCGGCGCATCCACTCGTCTCCCTTCAGATCAGCTGTTGCACACCCAGTCACTGCCCATGGCCCTCCGCCTAAAGCTCCGGCTACTCCGTCAGCAGAGTTCAAGGAGACCTCAAAATCGAATGATGCGGAGCTCCCAGCTTCCGAGGGTGAAGCATCGCGATACAACCTCACTGCTGCGTTGAAGAAACGGTTTTGGAAGGATGTCCATGTGCATGGAAAGTCAGGTATGAGTGGAATGGGCGTTGGCTATCTTTCTCATTGATTGATCACGTCATCCGGTAATACTCGCCAGCTAACCCATTCACTTCTTTAACCAGACGAATATCAAGTCCTGCTTGATAAGCGACCCGTCAGAACCCCGGCAAAAGAAGTCCTGTCTATTCCCTCCACCAAGCCTCACCTCGCCCACGCTGTTGCGCTGGAGTGGGATGTGATGGCCTCCGCCCAGCAGGCTCTCAGAACCCACCTTATCCCCATGACCTCCCTCGCAGCCCGCGCCACCGATATCGCCCGCGAAGATGCCGAGGGCAACAGCACCACCAGAAAACAGATTATCACAACTGCCATGCGTTACCTAGATACCGATACGCTACTCTGCTGGGAGCCCGAGCGACAAAGGCACGTCTTGGAACGGACGACGGCCGACGGAAAGCCCATCGAGAGTCTTCGCCAGATTCAAACAAGAATCGCAGGGGACGTCATGAGCTTTTTGTCCACCAAGGTCTGGCCTGGCCTTGAAATCATCCCTATCCTTGATACCAATAGCATCCTCCCTCTCTCCCAGCCAAAGGGTACCAAAGACAGCATCTGCACCTGGGTTTCGGAACTGTCTGCGTATGACCTGGCCGGTCTTGAGCGGGCAATCCTTGCTTCCAAGAGTCTTCTCATCGCGGTCCGCCTGGTGGTGGAATGGAGTGAGAACTTCCGCCACATTCAGCGACCCGAGACAAGGAAGTTCGGCATCGAGGAGGCGGCTGAGGCGTCGAGTCTGGAGGTGACCTGGCAGACTAATATGTGGGGTGAGGTTGAGGACACTCACGATGTTGGCAAGGAAGACTTGAAGCGACAATTGGGCAGTGTTGTGATCTTGGTTAGTGGGGAGACTCGATAAGCTACGAGCGTCTGTATATTGGGTATACTGTATGATAGATATAGATGGCCTGTATGGCCTTTTTGTAAAAATGCGTGTGTTAAATGAATACTACCATGAATTCACCATATTCTGTATAACAAAAATGACTCGAGGGGAACCCTCATGCCAAGGCGGAGATCAGCATCATTTGCCCCCCAAACAAGGGCCCGAGGGCCCCCCCCCCCCCCCCCCCCCAATTTCATTCCAAGTCCTCAACCTTGCGCAGACAACATTTGATGTATTGGATATAGTCCAGTGTGCAAGGATGTCTGATAAACCAGAAGGGTAAGTTCGTTTCCCTTTGGCACTAGGGACACTGGATCCATGGTTCATCATGCGTCATGACAGCTGTGACGCCCCGGGGGAAAATACCTTGGCTTAACTGCCTTGGTACATGTCTCCTGAGCCTGTGGCCTTTGAAGCAGTCACATGTGAACGGTGTACATGGTGTACACGGTGCGCTGTACGGACTTTGTACGGATTTTGTACTGACATGCCGCTGTCTTTCAGGCAGAAACACAAACGCTCTCGAAGCGCAATAGCACTTGCCCTCCTCCACCGCGACAAGTCCAAAGGCGAAGATAAAGACCCCGATGATAACGGAGACACCAACTCGGCCACCTCCGTCTCTTCGAGCCCTGGCTCGCTGAAACACACCCGCAGCAGCAGCCGCCACAGCCGTCGCAAACAAGGCCAGGACCCGAGTCCGCCACCGGCCATTCAAGAATCCGCCGAGGATATGGACACAGTCGAAGACCTGCCTTCCTTGAATCAAATGGAGACTGGCAGCATGTCGCTCGAGCAGTCCGTTCGCACCTTTCGTCTCTTCGAGATCTTGCGCAGCGGCGACACCACTGCCATCTCCAAGGCCATTAAGGATACCATCGACCCGCAGGGCGTGAGTTGTCTCAATGGCACGACCGTCCTCCATTTGGCTCTGCAGTGCGCCGAGCCTCAGATCGTGGAATATGTGCTGTCCGACGCGGAGGACATCGATATTAACTCGCGAGACCGGGATGGAAACACGCCACTTCACATTGCCGCCCAGCTGGGGAGGGGCCCGCTTGTTCGCGAATTGCTGAACCATCCGTCTATCAACGATTCTATTGTCAATTATCGGGGTCAGACGCCTCTCGATTTGGCCCGTACCCCTGAAATCTTCCAGCAGCTTCAGCTTGCGCGGTCTCTCTTCATCGATAGCAAGAACCAGGAAATCCAGGCTTTGATTGGAAGCTCTGATTATAAGGGCTTGGAGGCTTTGCTCGAGGAACCCCGAGTGGAGGGTATTATGGATGTGAACAGCTACGACCTGGTTACCGACCCAACGACAGCCCATTCCGGTGGCACGCTTCTGCACGAGGGTGCTAGAAATAAAGATGCGCAACTCATTGAAATCCTTCTGACGCATGGCGCGGATCCTTTCCGTCGTGACAAGAAGGGGAAGCTACCGCAGGATGTTACCAAAGATGATAAAACCCGCGCTCTCTTGAAGAGATCACCCGCTGCTGCTATTGCTCAGCGCGGTATTCAGGAAAGGGCTATTCTCGGAAATAGTAATGCTCAGGGCCTTACCGGGCGTGTTTCGATTGGCGATGCCCCGCTTGCAGGCAAGGATGCCCGCGAGATGAGAGGCTATCTTAAGAAATGGACGAATTATACAACGGGGTACAAGCTGCGCTGGTTCGTTCTGGAGGATGGAGTTTTGAGTTATTATAAGCACCAGGGTAAGTTCAGGGCTTATGCTTCCGCCTTCTCATTGTCCCTCGTGCCGTCGACCCCTGCTAACTTGCTCTATAGATGATGCCGGCTCTGCCTGTCGCGGTGCGATCAACATGAAGATTGCTAGACTTAGCATGGATGCGCAAGACAAGACGCGTTTTGAAATCCACGGCAAGTCATCGGTCAAATACCACCTCAAGGCCAACCATGTTGTGGAGGCAAAACGCTGGTTCTGGTCCCTTAACAATGCCATTCAGTGGGCCAAGGATGAAGCGAAGGAGGAGGAGCGTCAGCGGTCGAAGAATGCAGAGGTGCTTCGCCAGGCTAAGATCGATCAGACAGAAGGACGCCTTGCGGATACACCATCAGAGTCCGGCCTTTCTCACAAGCCCAGCACAAAGGGTCTAGCTCCTCCATCTTTGGGGGGTGGTAGTAGCAGTGGCACCAGGCTCAGCACATATGCATCCCGCACCACCCTGGATATTCCAGCTGGAGACGAGGATAGCTCCGCTTATGGCGGTTCTTATGATCAGGTCCATGTTCCAAACGACATGAACAGAGTAATCAGTCATGTCACATCTGCGCCGGACGGAGAGGTCGAGGATGAAGAATTTATCGACTACGGTTCAAGCCACGAGAATGAGATCCCAGCCGCTGATAAGGATGCTCTCAATATTACCGCACAATCTGCGAAGCTTCAGTTGGATCTTCTTGCAAATGTGGCTGCCTCGCTACAGGCCGAGAAATCCAAGAATCCGGAAATGACCATTGCGGATCCAGCCCTCGAACAGGCCCTCGGTGCCTATGAAGCTGCAGTCAGCAGCCTCAAGGGTCTAGTGCAGAATCTGCTCAAAATCTCACGGGACCGAGACTCTTATTGGCAGTCTCGTCTCAGTAGAGAGGAGTCCATTCGTCAGATGTGGGAAGAAAGCATGGCCCGTGTGGCCCGCGAGCACGAGGAGCTACAATCCAAGATGGGCGAGTCCGAGGAGAAGCGGAAGCGGACCAAGCGGGCTCTGAAGGAAGCCCTGGAGAGCGCAACGGGCAGTAGCCGTTCTATCGCCGGTGTGACACCCCGTTTGCAAACAGAGAACCAGAGTCTTAAGGCCAGCCAAACTGAAGCTGGGGTTACCGAGACGATGGATGAAGCAGACCAGCCTACACAGCAACCATCCGCGATACCCGCACTCTCTCGCAGGCCATCGACCTACTCCAAACTCAGCAGTCTCTACGATTCAGAAACGGACGAGGAAGAATTCTTTGATGCTATTGATGCAGGTGAAATCGAGGTAGAGGATTTCAACGCCGAGAAGAACAACGTGGAACCATCTAAAGATGAAAGTGCTGAGCTTCGGGCTGTGAAGAGTACCATCATTGCACCCTCCTTTAAGGGTTATGAAGATCCCGTTAGAGAGCGACTTAAGATGGATGCTGATGATCGGCCAAAGATTTCTTTATGGGTAAGCTGTGGTGTTTACTTCTTTCTTTCTTTTTTTCGCCAGTGCTAACTACTGTTTAGAGTATCCTGAAATCTATGATTGGAAAGGACATGACGAAGATGACACTCCCGGTGTCCTTCAACGAACCAACTTCACTGCTTCAGCGAGTGGCTGAGGATCTTGAATATACCGACCTCCTTGATATCGCTGCTGGTCGGTCCGATTCAATGGAACGCCTGGTCTACGTCGCCTCGTACGCCGCAAGTGAGTATGCCTCGACCATCGGCCGTGTCGCAAAGCCCTTCAACCCCCTTTTGGGTGAAACCTTCGAGTACGTGCGTCCGGACAAGGGCTATCGATTCTTTGTGGAGCAAGTCAGCCATCACCCACCGATTGGAGCTGCGTGGGCCGAGTCACCCAAATGGGACTACTGGGTAAGTGCATCCGATTTTGTTACCCAATTTCTGTTAGCAGAGCTAAGCTAACAAACTTCAGGGTGAATCCTCCCTCAAGTCCAAGTTTTACGGCAAATCCTTCGATATCAACCTGCTGGGCACATGGTTCCTGAAGCTGCGACCTTCCTCTGGCGGAGAGGAACTCTACACCTGGAAGAAGGTGACCTCGTCAGTTATTGGCATCATCACTGGGAACCCCACAGTAGACAACTACGGTCTGATGGAAATCAAAAACTGGACCACCGGCGAAGTCTGCTACCTCGACTTTAAGCCCCGTGGCTGGAAGGCCTCATCAGCCTACCAGGTGACAGGAAAGGTCGTCGATAGCCAAGGCTCCCCCAAGTGGAGCATCGGTGGCCGCTGGAACGATAAAATCTACGCCCGCCACACCCCCGGATTTGAGGCACCTGTCTCCGGCCAGGATCCTGAGTCCGACAAGACCTTCTTGGTTTGGCAGGCTCATGCTCGTCCTACTGGTATACCCTTTAACCTGACTCCATTCGTCATTACGCTCAATGCTCTCCCCGAGGGCTTGAAGGAGTGGCTACCTCCTACCGATACCAGACGGCGACCCGATCAGCGTGCTATGGAAGACGGTGAGTATGATTTGGCTGCTGATGAGAAGCACCGTGTTGAAGAGAAGCAGCGTGCCAAGCGCAGAGAACGCGATACCGGTGGCGAGGTCTACGCGCCACAATGGTTCACTCGTGACAAGTGTCCTGTTACTGGAGAGGAGTTCTGGGCTCATAATGGAAAATACTGGGAGTCCAGAGATGCGCGTGAGTGGAGTCGAGCCGAGGATATCTTCTGAGAGGTACTTGGCTTGTTGTTTTGGCTTGTTCCTCTGTACAAGACTCTCAATTATCATAAATAAACGAATGAATTCTGGATAGCTTTTTTGCGGATATGGGCTCATCTGAGTAAAATTAGATACTAAATGGTACATCTGTACGTAAGGCTCACCTACTTAATACAATAAACCTGCTAATTCAAAGCCAAAGTTGCAGATACCTTCGTTTCATAGATGGTCGTTATCAGTCACGTGTCGCCGCAAAAACATCCCCAGAGCTATCCGTGGTCTGATCGGTTCCCCTCCACAACCAATTGACATCGCAATGGCAGGATACACTTGTGTCCAGTGCCTACAGGTCCTCCGTCAAGGAGTCCGGGCCCCAGCCCCTCAGGCTCGCCTGCAGAGCCTCGTCACCACGCGGAGAAGAAGCCCCATCTCCCCGTCTTTCATCCGCAGCTTCGGCTCGCAACGCAACAGTCGATCGCTGGGCAGCTCCCCAGAGCAGCCCAAGCACACACACAGCCAGTCCTGCTGTGCTCCCAAGTCCTCGCCTTCGCCCCTCGCCCAGCGAGCAGCTCACACGGCAACCGGGTCCTCCGTCAACACTCGGGTTAACAACCCTCAGGCCGTCCTGAAACCCGACAACCTGTTCCACTCCTTCTCGAACTCGCCCTCGCCAGCAATCCGCAAACGCGCCGAGTTCATCAAGCAGAATGCCTTCTGTCCCCACCCAAGCCACCAGCAGACCCGCGCGGCCGTCTCGCCCCACGACCCTGAAGCCAGAAAAAACACCGATGATGCAAACCTGCCCCCGGCCCATTCGCACTTCGAGTGCCCCGACTGCGGTGTGCCAGTCTACTGCTCCGAGGAACACTGGATGGATGACTTCGAGGCTCATCTCGAGATCTGTGATACACTGCGCCAGATCAATGAGGACGATCACGACCTGAACTCCGGCCGCTTCTTCCCTGAATTCCATTACCCCGGTCCTCAGGATGATAACTTCGTTATCAACATGACTAACTGGGATACTTACCTCTACACCCGTGAATTCGCGGCTATCAACGACGATCGCTCCATGCGTCAGGTTACCCGCATGCTCACCTACCCCCAGACAATCGGCAGTGTCTTGCACGAGCTTAGCCCGTACAGTGTTCGTTCCGATGGACGACTCACGCCGGAGGGATTGAAGAGTCTGAGTGGTAAGTCTTGATCCTATACAGCAGTAGAGGACTGCTAGCAGTATCTTCACACAACAAACTAACCCATCACCAGCCCTCCGCTACTCCCTCCACCCCCCTAAAGCCGGTGAAAGCATCGACGTCAAAGGCCTCCGTCTGAAAGCCCCCCCAGTGCGAATCTTCATCCTCGGCGCTCGCGCAGAGTCCTCCCTCCCCCGCGACGTCTGGCTGCAGCTGCAGTACATGTACCCGCGCGCCCTGCTGCACCTAATCTTCATCGGGCCGGAGAGCATGGCGAACCGAGACGGAGAGTATCCGCTTCCCGAGCGCACGCCCGAGAACCCCTTCGGTGGCATCGTCGAGGACAGACTCGGTGGCCAGATGAAGATCACTACTTACGTGGACTACTTCCACACTATGAACAAGGCGCAGTATTTCGGTCCCTTCGATCCTTACCTTGATTGCTTCATGCTCTTCCATCCTGGTCTGGGTCACCCCGCTAGCTCGCATGAGTGGGAGGAGACGCTGCCTCAGTTGCTCGAGACTAAGGTTCCTATCATCTGTACTGGGTATACGCAGTGGGATCTGGAGCGTGATATTAAGTGGGTGGGTGAGAAGTGTCGTGGGGAGTTTGATGTGCTTCTTGAGCCCGGGGAGAATATCTTCCGCAGTCTGCGCTGGGATCTGAATGATCAGGATCCTCATGATGTTTCTTGTGGAAACTGGGGATTGTGGGCCTTCCGAGGCAAGAGGTATGTGGTGTCTTTTTGCTGAGTGGAGGACTATTGGCTAACTTGCTCGACAGATATGAAGCTGCTTTCTCCAAGGAGGAGTAGGCTAGTTATAGCTCTCCTTTCTGTACGATATTTTTTGGTGCCCGTTCTTGGGGTCATTGTAGTAGATAAGATCATTTTCAGTCCTCTCCGAAGTTATTCACGATTATCGATGCGCTTGATTCAGCTAGTGTTATTTTTGTCAAGCATATGTCGTAGATGAAGCTATAGCTAAACTCTCATCGAGACGCCAGGAATCCATACTATATATGTAAGTAAACGCTTCGGTCATGATTGAATGATTACAGATTAAGCAAAGGCCAAATGCAGCCACAATGAAATGTATCAATTGCACAAAAAGTAAAGCTCGTAAGTCTTACACTCGTTGATAGTAGTATGACATCCAAGAACAAAGATGCAAGCATCAATGCGGAGAAAGAATCCAAAGTCATCCAAGACAGAAAGGTAGTAGCATTAAGATCAAAAAATGCTTGGATGAGATCAAAAGAGGAGTATCGTAGAAGAAAAGGGTATAAACATCGGAAAATCGGAAAACACGTGTCAAAACCACCGTAACCAGAAAGTAAGAAGGTTAAAAAAACGGTACGTCGAGAAGGAATAATATGTAGAGAAGAAAATATCCCAAAAAGACATGGGAGGGATCAAGTGGGGGCCATTCTAGATGGCCAAAGCAGTCCAGTACCAAGACTAGGCTGACACTGGATGCAATGCGACAAAAGTCGAGACCAAGATCGGTGGGTATAACTCAAACAATCACTCGTCCAAATGAGTCAGGAAATGGAGCTTAGATCATGAGAAGACCAGCAATGGCGGCTGCACCAGCAGCCATGAAGCCAGGGAGGTGGATTGAGGCAGCATTGGTAGCAGGGGCGGAAGGAGTAGCCGAGGCACTCTCACCGGCAGGGGTGCTGCTAGCCTTGATCAGGGGTGTGGAGGAGCTGGCAATGTGGCTCATAGAAGGGGTAGCACTGGAGGAGGGAGTGCTAGTGATGACAGGCGTCCAGGTCGACGAGGGAGTTTCAGTCGAGGTTGAGGTCGGGGTGGGAGTCGGGGTGGACGATGGGGGAGCAGTGTAGCCGGAGGGCACCAGAGTGATGGTCTTGGTGACACAGTCGGCTGTGGCAGATTCAGCGGCGAACGCGACAGGCGCGAGGGCCGAGAGGAAGAGGAGAGCCTTAGTGAACTGCATTGTTGATGTTTGGTTCAAAAGTTGTTATGATATTGGGAATTGAGAATTGAGAATTGCGAGAAGAGAGTAATTCGAGTCAAAAGAGTGAATGCAGCTGATAAAAGAATGTGATAGCTGTGAGAACAAAAGAGTGACACTGTTTCGAACAGGAGAGGTTGCAGGGAGAAAGACAGGAGTTGAAGAAAAAGGGAGTTCCAAGGCGCTTGTATCGTTGGGGGTACGGGACAGTTACCGAGGCATCAAGGCATCAAGGCATCAAGGTACTAAGGCTCCGTCACCCAACCATTGGAATGTCATTCCTACTTTGTATATCGATTCATCGTTATAGATCAAAAATCTTCTTTACGATCTTTCCTTCTCTTCTTCTATTATTAAATGACTTCTCCTATTCTCGGACTTCCTCATAGTTACTCGTTCTGATTTCCGACAGTACAACTAGTCCAATTTAGGAATATCCTCGCGTCATTTCTATACTCTTAGAGTCTTCCTCTTCTTCATATTCCATGACTAACTTCAAAGAAATCCACACTATTGGACAGGCAAGGTCATATATAGGCCAAAAACGAACACAAGCATAATCACCTAATGTACATGTAGCTAATGTAACCCATGTACTCCGTAAATGATCTGAGACTACAATTTATACTATATCTCGTTCTTAGTTTGTTCGTTATTACAATCTAGACTGTATACAGTTTCAGGTCCAATTCAATATCGCCTTCACATTAGTAGAAGCAAAGCGCTTATGGATATAAACAATACTGTTGTACAGGCCAAGGGCAAGTTCCCAAACCGGGGTATCAAAGTCACAAGCAAACATCCATCCCAATCGTCTTTTATCATAGCATTAAGGCCCATCAACATAAGCCAGGTAGAGCCATAATAACCCAGCAGTCAGAAAGCAAAAGTAGAAAGCAAAAAGCAAAAACATAGTCGGCATTTAGAATCCCCAGACGGCGGCCACTACCACAGCAACAGTCACCCAGTACCCGCTAGCATGCAGGACCATCGCGACAGGCCCGGATGCCGAGGAAGTACTCGACGAGCTTCCGTCAGCGGCAGTGGTACCGTTGGCCAAGGTGCCATTAATGTAGATGGTCTGAGTGCCATTCACATCGACCACGCGCACAAGACTGGAGTTCTTAGGCACGGTGCCGTTGAAGAGGGACTCGTAGTAGGTGCGGTTAGTGTTGCTGTCGCAGCCACACTCCGAGTACTCCTGGCACACACAGACAATGGGGAGCGACTCGTTCTTGTGAGAATTGTCATTGTAGTAGTTGTAGTGGTTATTGTAGGGGTAGGCGTAGGCGCTGTACAGCCAAAGACCCGGGAAGAAGCCCAGTGCAGCTCCACCGAGCACGTAGGGGGCGATGCCTCCAGCAGACCGGGAGCCAGACTTGTAGGGAGTGCGTGAACCACCTGCATAGTAGCTGCCTCCACCGTAGGTTGCTCGAGTGCCAGAGCCGCCGCTGGTTGTACCACCAACATTGCTTGTTGAACCACTGCGACTGCTGCCACTGCTGCCACTTGAACCGGAAGAACCGGAGGAACCGGTGCGGCCTCCACTGCTTCCTCCACTGCTTCCTCCACTGCTTCCTCCACTGCTTCCTCCACTGCTTCCTCCACTGCTTCCTCCACTGCTTCCTCCACTGCTTCCTCCACTGCTTCCCCCACTGCTGCTTCCTCCGCTGCTGCCACCGGCTCGGCCTCCACCACCGCCACCACGCCGTTTCTCGAGAGTTATGATATCTGGGGTGTCCTGGGTAGAATCCAGGGGGTCCAGGGAGTCCACATCTCGATCAATGAGATCGGTAGGCTCAGTTTGAGGGATGGTCAGGGAGGCGACCCTGGTGGAGAGTAGAAGGAGTGTTGTCGCCCAAGTGAACTTCATGATGAATACGAGTATTGAGTAATAGAATAGAGAAACAGAAGAATAAAGAAAGGGTCTCGAAGGTGAGAGCCAAAGGGAAGTCCAGTAAAAGCGCAGTAAAGTAGGGAAATAGGGAAGTAACGGTATGACGAAACTCTGAACTCAAGTTGTCCGACTCTGCAAGAGATTTCGGGGCCTTTTTAAATGTTAAAGGTCCTAAAATCCTCGGATTTAAGCAATTCCAAGGAAATGAAATGACAAAAAAAATACTCAGCCTCGGACCCTGACCCGCCCCGCCCCCTTCTTGGCCTCTAAGAGCGAATACGACGTGAATATACAACATACTCGGGGAGTATACAAAGCACTGCCCCGTCATTTCTTCTATTTTGTTTCTAGAAAACTTGAACTTTTGCCACTAAAGATGATATAATTGTGCATATGTACCTAGGTACTCCGTACATACATATGTATATTATTGTAGATCTTTCCCTGTCCTCCACATGGGTGGCTTATATGACCTTACAAGGATCTAAGGCTTTCTTCAAGTATACCTATTACATCTACTTGGCCTCATTATGTGCTCAAGCCCTATATATTATACTTCACACAACTCCAAACACAACCAAACGCCAAACCAAAACGCCCCGTAATCCACTGGACTAATAAATGAGCCTCACTCCAAGCCCCAAAGTCGGTGTGAGAAACTCTCTATCCTTTGTTATATTTTGTTATATTTTGTTATATTTTGTTATACTTTGTTATACTTCGTTATAGTAAAACGAGAGACTGTCTGATCCTATAGATTAAAATAAAATGCGCCTTGTTTCAATGTTTACGAAAAAGTGAGCCTCAAAGAAGGTAACTGGGCACGTTAGTGGCTATTGGCCTATCTCTTTTCTTTCTACTCCGTATGACTATAAAAATATGCTTTTAGCATTACATTTGAAAGGTAATAGTCAAATGATAAACCTATTTCTAACCTACGTATGTAGTTAATAGTTCAGTAGTTTACGGAGTATACTAGTAATAGTGGGAGATCACCGGTCGGGCACCCAACAGCTTCCCCCCGAGTCAAAGCTACCTTGTGTCACTCTTTCATATCCCCCCCCCTTCCAAATAACTCATTTCCCTACGGCCTCTCATGGCACGTCAAAGAGGTCTTTCAAATGCCTCTTCCACTTCCTCGCTCCCAGACCAGGTACATGAATCTCCTATCCCTGACCCGGAGACCGCTAATGCAATCATAGGAACTGGGGAGCATGTACGATTACCTCGCCAAAGTCATCCTCCTTGGACCAAGTGGTGCTGGAAAGTGAGTACCAACTATATCAATATCTAGGTATGGTACATACAAGCTTAGATCATCTGCTGACATCGGATCCTTGAATCACAGGTCTTGTGTACTACACCGCTTCGTGAAAGATGAATGTACAAACCACCCCCCAATCCTTACTCTAGCTCTCTACTGACATATCTTCTTTCCACCAGGGCGAGTACTCTCCTCCCAGACTATCGGCGTGGAATTCGCCTCGCGCATCGTGAAACTCGGCACGGGCTCGCGCCGGAGACGCATCAAACTCCAACTCTGGGATACAGCAGGCACAGAACGCTTTCGATCTGTCTCAAGATCATACTATCGCGGCGCAGCAGGCGCAATCCTCATTTACGATGTCGCTTCATACGCTTCCTTCACCTCCCTCCCGACCTTCCTCATGGACGCCCGCGCCCTCGCTTCCCCGAACTTATCCGTCATCCTGGCCGGGAATAAAGCGGACCTGACCTCCGACGCCCAGTCTGATTTCGAGGATAACTCCCGCCCGCCTCCGACCCCGTCCAGTACTTCCAGCAGACAGTCGTCTATCCCCTGGGATGTGAATGGGTCGATTCGCTCCACCAGCCTGATGGGGACGGGGACGAGATTGACTGCGACTCGTGCCTCGGAAGGCAGAGAGGTTAGCTCCGAGGAGACATCCCAGTGGGCTGCTAAGTCGAATATACCCGTCGCTGTGGAGATCTCAGCTCTGACGGGGGACGGCGTGGAGGAGGTCTTTAATCGGCTGGCGCGTATTATCTTGACCAAGATCGAGCTCGGTGAGATCGACCCCGATGACCCGCAGAGTGGGATCCAGTACGGGGATGGAGGTCTATATGGCGGCAGCGACGCTTCGAGCATTAGAAGTCGGGCGACATTGGACGATAACTCCGTGCCCCTGCAGCGCAGGACTCCCCGTCGAAAAGGCAAAGCTCCTGGCACACCTAATTGGAAGAGCGGGATGAGGGAATGGGAGGATGTTTTCCGTTTAGGCTCTGGAAGTCGCCCAAATCAAGGGTGTTGTTAGTATTATCGTTGTATCACCTTTGGGTACATCTGTTTATTTTCTGTTTTGATTTGGTCTTTCGTTTACTACACTGCACGATACCCCCCTCGTTGACCTTGATCATTTCTACATATTACTTTATTTACCCAACAGCTCAGACCTCCCAGAAGAGGAGTTATTGCATATCAACTTTTGATTCATCTCTCGTTCAAAATCTGCTAAAAGAAACAACGCCCCGTTTATCCCCAATAAGTTTCGTTTCTATAACGGAATTTACACATCAATACCAGCAATCAAGGTCTTAATGCCCTTGCCAGCCTTGACCTCAATAAAGGCCTGCTCAGCTTGGTCGAACTTGACTGTGCCGGTAATCAACTTCTTGACATCGACCTTGCCGGACGAAACCAGCCCAACGGCAAGCTTGTAGTCTCCGCTACCATACCGGAAGCTACCCTTGATGGTCAGCTCCTTGGAGCAAGCCGCCATGATAGGGAACTGGATCTCGCTGCGGCCCATGCCACCCTGCACGTAGGTGCCTCCGTTGCGCAGGACATGGATGCCCGTGTGCACAGAGGGCTCAGCACCCGAAGCATCAATTGCCACATCGGCACCAGCGCCGAGCCCATTCTCTTCTCTCAGGCGCTCGGCATTCTCAATGGCCGTCACCTTGCTGGGCATGAACGTCGAGGTTGTGGCGTAGTCCTTGGCAAAATCAAGACGCTGCTGCTGGATATCCACGGCAATAACCTTGGAAGCGCCGAACGCAGTCGCCACGGCGCAGCACAGCAAGCCCACGGGGCCGGCGCCAAATACAACCACCGACTGGCCCGGGCCGACGGCAGCTTGACGCACGATGTGCACTGCAACACCAAGGGGTTCCATGAGCGCTCCCTCCTGCAGAGAGATGTGCTCGGGGAGCTTGTAGCAGAAGTCCTCGGGGAGAGTGTAGTACTTGGCGAGGGTGCCATCATAGGGCGGGGTCGCGGCGAAGCGCATGTCCTCGCACAGGTTGTACTTTCCGGCCTTGCAGGGCTCGCATCGGCGGCAAGAGGTGCCGGGCTCCATGGCGACCCGGTCACCCACCTTTAGGGTCTTAACGGCTGATCCGACTTGGCTGATGATGCCTGCTGACTCGTGTCCGAGGACCATGGGGTCTTTGACGACGAATGAACCGATCGAACCGTGTTCCCAGTAGTGTACCTGTTGAGGGGATTAGTCTGGTGGGTCATATGGTTTTCGGAGCATGGAACATACATCACTGCCACAGATACCGGTGTACTTGACGTTGATGATCACATCGTGGGGGTTCTTCAGCTCGGGAACCGGGCGGTCTTCAAACTTAACCTTGTGGATGCCCTGAAGGACGAATGAAAGGTTCTGCATGATGGTCAGACTTGTCCTGTATGTCAATTTCAACGGTGAGTTGGATCCTACCTGAGCTGCGGCCATTGTGTATGTGTTTAGAGGGGCAATGGTGGGGATTCCGGGGAAATTGGCAACAATGCGGGGGGATGAAGAGAGTAAAGAGATAAAGATATTCTACACGGCAAGACTAGAATATATATAACTCTGGAAAAGAGAAAAGGATGAACCGGGAGAATCCAGTCGAATTGAATTGAACCGAAGAGCTCCCCGCAGGTCGAGACAAGTTCCACTTCGATGTGGATCGGCCTTTTTTCTTTTTTAGCCGCGACGATATTAACCGGGGACTCTGTTACTTTCGGGCGGGATATCTTTCCTCTGTGAAGTCACAAGAGGCAATAAATGAATAGGCCATGTGACCCGCCACTTTTAGTCAAGTGACGTATAATTTCCTATCTAGGAAATATATACATATGTACGGAGTCGGATATTATAGTACTCTGATATAAGAAAGATGATATTTAGCACTATTTAGCACATAATAAACATGTGAACCCATAGAAAGTCATATAAAATACCATTAAATACTAGTATATACTATTATATGTACTAAATATCTTCTCGATATCCCTGTCTATCCCCCTGTCTTATCCCGTAAAAAAAAAAAAAAGTATCGGCCCGGATGCCAAGACCCCGGAACTCGGTCCGTCCTCCACCTCTCACCTCTCTCTCTCTTGTGTGTGTGATAGCTCTGACAGCTTTGAGAGCTTCAAAGAGGTTCACTTCCTCTACACATCGCAATGGTCTTCAATTCTCTCGCCCTAGGGGCCCGTAGTCTCCGGACTCGACCATCAACCCGCCTTGTGCGCCATTTCGCATCTTCAGCCAAGCAAGCTAAGGACAACCAATCATTCAAGAGTTCATTCAAGAGTCAACTATACGAAAGCACCCAGCAGCGCCTGAAGCGCGAGCGCGCCGAACAGGAGAAATTTGCCCAATATCAGACCCAGTCCCCCGCGGGTCGTTCTGCCGCCCTGGTCTTCGGTATGCGATGCCGAGATAACCTTGCATTCCCCTCTGGATAGGTCATTGGCTAACTAAATCTGCAATCGCGCTGTAGCTTTGGTTTTCTTCTCAACTGGTGCTTACTACCTCGGATCCATCAAGCCCGCAGCTCTGCCCTCCTCATCTACGACTCCCCTCTCTGAGATCGAGGCCCCCAAACATAACGTCTCTCCCTCCAACCTCCAGGCAGCGTGGGCTGATTTCGTCGAGATCTTGGGCAAGGAAAATGTTTCGACTGCAAGTGGCGACTTGGAATCGCATGCTGGATCCGATTGGTCCTCCTACTCACAGAAAGAGGATGAGAAGCCCTTCTTGATCCTCTACCCGTCAACTACCGAGGAGGTCTCGCGCATCATGAAGGTCTGTCACCAGCGCATTATCCCCGTCACCCCGTACTCCGGCGGCACGAGCTTGGAGGGCCACTTTGCGTCTACGAGAGGTGGCGTGTGCGTGGATTTCCGTCGCATGGACCGCATCTTGAAGCTCCACAAGCGTGATTTGGATGTTGTTGTCCAGCCTGCTGTTGGATGGGAGGAGTTGAACGAGGAGATCGCCAAGGATGGACTTTTCTTCCCGCCGGACCCGGGTCCCGGCGCGATGATTGGCGGTATGGTCGGAACGGGATGCTCGGGAACTAACTCATACCGATACGGGACAATGCGTGAGTGGGTGCTGTCGCTCACTGTTGTCCTCGCCGATGGCACCATAATCAAGACCCGGCAGCGGCCGAGGAAGTCTAGTGCTGGTTATGACTTGACCAAGCTCTTTATTGGCAGCGAAGGCACTCTTGGTCTGGTAACGGAGGCAACCTTGAAGCTGACGGTCAAGCCTCAGAGCGAGAATGTTGCTGTCGCAAGCTTTGCCACTATTCAGAATGCTGCTGAGTGTGTGACCAATGTGGTGGAGGCTGGTATCCCTGTCGCTGGTGTTGAGATTCTGGATGATATCCAGATGAAGTGCATCAATACCAGCAAGACTACCAGCCGTCAGTGGAAGGAGGCCCCCACCCTGTTCTTCAAGTTCACTGGCACCCCAAATGCGGTTAAGGAGCAGATTGGTATGGTGCAGAAGATTGTGTCTAACACTTCGGGCAATACCTTCGAGTTTGCTCGTGGCAAGGCTGAGATGACAGAACTCTGGAGTGCTCGCAAACAGGCACTGTGGAGTGTCATGGCGATGAAGAAAAGCCCGGATGACCACGTCTGGACGACCGATGTCGCAGTCCCGATTAGCAAGTTGCCCGACATCATGGAGGCAACCAAGGAAGATATGACCAAGAATGGCTTGTTGGCTGGAATCTGTGGCCATGTTGGAGATGGCAACTTCCACGGTAAGCTATTGCCTTGATTTCGACATACCCCACAAATCATTCGACATGTATTAACAGCCGACAGCGATCATCCTATTCAGCGACAGCGAGAAGAAGATAGCCGAGGGAGTCGTGCACCGCATGGTGAAACGCGCTGTGGAGATGGAGGGTACTGTCACTGGAGAGCACGGTGTCGGTCTCGTCAAGCGAGACTACCTCGAGCATGAGTTGGGTGAAACTACAGTTGACACAATGCGCCGGGTAAGTCTTGACATACATTCTCATTCAACCTCTAAATCCAAATATACCCTTGTCTACACCCAGGGAGCACACCGCTAATACTCATATCTGCATTCCTAGCTGAAATTGGCTCTTGATCCACTCCGCCTGCTCAACTGCGACAAGGTTGTTCGCACCGAACAACCGGCTCCCGGAGAGGTTAAGGAATGGTAGATGCCTGCGCCATCATCCATTGCGACAGGATCTATCACTAGCCCAACACTATATCCGGGCCACTGCTGAGGCTACCTAATCCGAATCCGAACCAGACCGTTCATGGTGATGATGGTGGTGTCGGTGGTGTCGGTGAGAACGTTCCTCATCATCGCTGCCCCCACTGCGAGAGCCCGAACCGTACCTGGGGCGCTCCTCACCCTCATATCGTCGCTCGGCGCGGTATCCATCGCCGCCCTCTCGCTGACCATATCCTTCCTGGGGCCTATAGCCAGAATTCTCAAGTTCATTGTAGCCAGGTTGCGGTCTACCATATCCAGAGGACTCCCTGTACATCGTGGTCAATATAAGAGACTAGCCAATAACAAATAATCAAGTCAACTTACTGTCCATATTCCTCACGGGGAGGTGGGCCTCCGTATCCATGGTGTGTCTCTGTACGCTGGTATTCAGATTGGCCACTTTGGTAGGTCTCCCGTGTCTGCTCCTGATAGTAACCCTGGCTTTCCGACTGGTATTGGTGGTGCTCCTCGCGGCGGAAGTTCTCCGCTGGAGGTGCGTAGCCAGAGTGCTCATCGCGACGCGCAGGTGGCTGTTGATAGACAGTTTCACTTTGATATTCGTATCCGTCGGGACGAGGACGGTATTCTTCGTGATGAACCGGGGGCTGACCGTAGCCTCCGTAGCTTGGTTCGCTTGGCTGTCCATATCCACTCTGGCGAGGGGGCTGCATTTGACTGAACGAGTCCCCTCCATATTGCTCGTGGCTCTCATGTTGGGGTCGATTCTGGTAAGAATTCCCACTGTCATAGTTCTGAGGCTCTGGGCTCTCCCGATCAGGCTTTGAGCCGCTGTTGTTGAGAAGCATAGAACCCATGCCTCCTACGAGTCCACCGAGTATACCGCCAAATGCGCCTCCTCCCACAGCCTCGGAGGCAAGGTTCTCAATACCAGAGCCACCGGAGCCACCGGACCCTTGGCCTTCACCAGAGCTACCGTGAGACTTGGGAAGAGCAAGCGGCTTGCCACATCCGTGTCCACAATCTTGCACGCCATCTTTATGGTTCCTACCTTCAAGGACACCATCGCGGCTTAGCTTCTCGCGGAGGATGTCACGCTCCTCATCATCCTTCTCGCTCCACCACTTCTCGACCGTGGAGAACATGATGTGATGCATATCGGCAGCTCCATCACGTCCAGACTCACGAAGAGCGGGGTGATGGAAAACACCAGAAATGATTCTGTCAAGAGTTCGGTCGACATCGACATTCTCATCGTCCCAGCATGACATGAGCTGAGGAACCGACCATTTGACAACAGCGGATGCAATACGACCGGCGGGCTCATTCAGAATGTTTGAGAAATGGTCTTTTGAGAGCATTGAGTGAGTCGGGTTTGAGCAGTCATCATCGTTGAACACAATGTGCTGTTGCTCCCGGCTGCTCTGGATCACTTCGGATGAACCGGTTTCGAGCTCGGACTTGACCTGCTTGATAATGGGAAGAACGTAAGGAGCCAGAATAGAGAAGACAAAAATGGTGATTTGATCCTGAATTTGCTCAATCAGGTCGGGCAAGACTGGGATCTTTTCGATGGCCTCATTGATTTGTTTCAACAGGGTGTCGTGCCACTCAAGGACTGGGTAGATCTGCTTCTGAACATTATTCAGGTAGAGAGTCCACTCTTCAGGTTCACGAGGATTGACGTTCTCGCCGTCATGTTTGGCATCATCCGCCTTTGATTTGAAGTCATCCATTTGGCCGGTCTGGTCGTTGCTGTCACCAAGCAGACCATCGGGAATCTTGCTCAGCAGAGTCTGCAGGAAACTCTCAGAGGAATCCTGGTTCTCCGATTGGGCGACAACACTCTCCAAGGACTCAATTTCAGACTGCATTGTTTTATCGGACAACTCTCCCAGTACGGAATGGAAGAAATCAACTCCGCCAAAGGTACCAGTCACGATTGGATAGACTTCGTTGTCGACACCGTTAACCTGCAGTTTGGTGTCACGTCCGACGTGAGGGAAGACCTCTGTCTCTCCCAGCTCAATCAGACTGAGCTCAGTGTAGTTAGAGTGAGCAGCGTAATCTTCCAGGCAATGTAATCCAGTGCCCAACAGTCGGAGAGCTTCATATAGGTCGTCCTTGTTTCCGGATCGGCCATAACGACGACCCATCTGAATTGAGCGGCCGAGCACACGGCGAATCAACCCAGCCGAGGTGTCGATACCCACGTCCTCCGTTGCGATGTAGTGTTTCAAGCCTGTGTTTCGGGTTTGGTTAGTCCGATATCGACCACCGCATGATCAGATTTCATACCGGTGCGGGGGTCCACTGCAAGCTCTCGCTCTTCGTCGACGGGACCTCGCAGTCGACGATCGTAGTCACGCGCATCCTCGCCCGTGGCGTATCCCAAGGGGTTATCGATATGCTCCGTAGGTTGATAACATCCCAGGCGTTCCGTCGTAACTTCGAACTCTCTGGTGCCATATCTTTCATCGGTGTCAGCGAAATGCGCAGTCTCGATATATTCACTTCCACAACTCACCCAAAGCTCATGAATCCCAGCACCCAGAGCAGGATACGGATGGCTTCAGCACTAACATATTTGACGGTGCCCACATCGACTGCTTGGCTGTAATCACGCAACCAGTTACCGAAGTAGACGCGCTTCACGTCCAGCTTGCCGAATTTCTTACCACCGGCGACTCTTGCCATATAGAGAGTCAGAAGGGCATCCTCGATATCTCCATGGCGCCAGTTTTGACCTTCGAGGCGGGAAAGAGAGGCGATGTTACCAGCGCCAAATGCATATGCCTGACCGGAGAAAGCGACCAGAATCAACAGGGACAACCCCAGGTTCTGTAAAGACAGACCCATGGTTGAGAATGGTACAAGTTGGGGGGTACCTAGGTATTTTTTATATGCGAGAAAGAAGAGAAGAATAAGAAGAAAACAAGAAAAGGAAATAAATGAAGAAAACAAGAGGAAGAAAAAAAGACTTAAACTCGTCAACCCCACCATGTACAACACAGAATGTCAAACACTTTGGTGGGGGAAGATCAGGGCTTGGCGTGCAGGTCTTGGCATTTTCGTATGTACATATGTACATTACAGGGGATATTATATTATTGGGTATATCGTGTAGATGGGGATGTGGATAACGGAGTATAGGGGGGATACATCCATGGATGGATACATAGGTACATAGGTACATAGGTAGAAATAGATTAAAATAAGATGAGACTAAATTAACTACACAAAATAATCAAACTAAACGAACTAATTTAAACTAGACTAGATGAACTAGAAGAACTAGAAGAAGAACTAGAAGGATTAGAAGATCCAATAATAGGAGAAAAGGGGATAATATATAGGGGGCAGGAGAATAGGAGAGAGAAGTCAAAGCCGCATGCGGTCTCGATCCCGTCTGTCTCCGGCTTCACCGCCGTCTCCTTTTTCTTGACCTTTTTGAATATATACTACTCTACTTTGCTGTCTACTCTCTACTACTTGATTACTTCCTATTTCTCTCTCTCTTTCTTCTACTCTTCTGATCCTGACAAATGTCAGATCCTTTATCTCTCCCGCCATAAGCGCTTATCTCCAAGTCTTCACTTTCCCCGCTGATGCGCTGATGCGCTGATGCGCCCCTCTTGATTACTATTACTTGGGATCTCTTACGATCTCCTCTTTCCTCGCAATCTTCCCCACTTATCTCCGGTCTTGAATTCTGAAACTCCCATACTCTGGTTCTCATTCAGCTGGTGTTGACAATCATGCATCACACAGTTCATTACTAAAAAAGCTGTGACTCAAGAGGTTCCGAACCATGGCGCGCGCCGACGATTCATACTCCCGTGAGTCGGCCTTTCCCGTCATGAAAAACCGACTGGCGGGGGAGTCTGGATCGCTCCAGCGTCCTACAAAGGCGAGACCAGGCATTGAAACTGGACGCGCTGCGTCCTATCACATCTTTCCGTCTCGAGATCTCACCAACTCCCAAGATCAATTCCCTTTTTCTGATGTTGCCGACAACTCGCATTCTCCTGTCAACCTCAAAAAGTGCGGCTCCAGGGTTTCAAGCATGGCCATGCATGATACCACACCGGGCGAACAACCGTGGAACTCGGAACAGCAGTTGATGAATACTCCTGAACACAATATATCCTCCGAGGCTCTCGACTCTCGCTCTCACAAAAGCAAATCAATGAAACCCAAGGTCCATATCAAGCCCATTTTGCGGAAACTCTCCCGAGATGATGCGCCGTCGACCTCGATCGATCTATCCCGATCGTCCACTGACCAAGAGGGGTTGGGAATTTACATGAACTTCGAGCGGGAGCGCCCACGCAGCGAGTCCCTCACAGGTGTGACTTTCCAGAGAACACCTTCCGGTCTTCACAATCGATCTACCAGTGGAACATCTCAGTTCTCAAATGGCTCAGGCTCGACTGCGAGCAAGCCCGGATCACAGTACGTGCATCCCATGCGACAGACGCCTCGAGCGTACACTCCACCATTGGGCCAGTCCTACGAGGAGTCGAGCCATGATAGCGAAGAACTGGATGAAAGCCCCGACTCGGAACCTGCGTCTATCCAAGAAACCCGTACATCTTCAGGCTCGGCCCTACCCCGGCTGTCATTGCAGATCCAAGATGACTCTTTCACCCGTCTCCCCGGGATTTCACAGACCAATGTGACCAGTCGACCGTCCTTTGGGTACTCGCGGGAAACTGATGGTACTACATCTCCGATGTCCAGAACGTCTCTCGACTTCGTTTTCCGATCTCGAACCCGTACTAGCACCGATCCTATTTCCCGTGCAGCCACAGTTCAGGCTGCCCGCCAGGCATTTGAGGAAAAAGAGGCTGCTAAAAACCGTCGGCTTGAAAAACAACAGATCAAAGCCGAAGAGAAGGGCTCCCGACGTCTCTTGAAGCGACACATGTCGGAAGATCATGAGTCTCCCGTGCAATCTAGAGAGGAGATTTCTGAGAA